GGCGTTTCCCACATAGAGATGATTTGTCTTCCCTGGCTCCGATGCATCCTTCAGCGCCCTACAGATTTGATCCTCACGCACCCCTGGTTGCGACCAGACCGTGTGAACCTTACTTCTACCGTAGCGGCTGTAGTCGATTTTCATCATACCCGCTGTCCTAGTCTTCCAGATGACCTGGTGACGCTTATCGTTGATGATCTCGTCAATTTCTTCCATCTCTGCTGGCCTCTCCTCCGTCGAGCTCTCCTCTTCGGGGGACTCCTCTCCCTGCCGTCCATCTCTCGCACCGTCCTCCCCTTCCCTTTCCGGTGTCCATTCACTCAGGAACTGTCGAACATCACGCGATGGTCCACCACTGTCTTCCTCGATTGCATTCACTACTATGGCTCTCGACAGCCAATCGGCCACCACATTCTCCTTTCCTGGCTTATACACTATTTCAATATTATATTGGCCGAGAAATTCCTTCCATCGCGCGACTCTCGCAGAGGATTCTTTTAATTTCCCAATCCATTGAAGGGGCCTGTGATCGGTGTGGACTCTGAACTTTCTTCCGAATACGTAAGGCCGAAAATGATCAATAGCCCACACTATCGCGAGCAATTCCCTCTCCAAAGCGCTATATCTCGTCTCAGCCTCGGTAAGGCGTCTACTCGCGTATGCTATGGGCTGCTCTCCTCCTACTCCATCCTGCGACAGTACTGCTCCCAGCGCATACTCGCTGGCATCCGTGGTGATCGTGAACTGCTTACTGAAGTCCGGAAACGCTAATACCGGTTCTGTTTGTAAACGGTCCATACACTTCCTAATGTTCTGTTCCATTACTGGTGTCACGATCATCTTAGCCCCCTTTTTCAGCAGATTATTGATCGGGACCAGGTACTCTGCCATTTCCGGCACAAACCTCCTATAATAATTAAGCGTCCCAAGGAGCCTCCTGATTCCTTTAACATCTCGCGGAACCGCCATTCGCCTAATAGCCTCTACTTTCTCCGCGTCCGGCCTAACCCCGTCCTTCGAAATTGTGTGGCCTAAAAAATTAATCCGCTCTTGTCCTAATAGGGATTTTTCTCTGGATAATTTTAGACCAAAACAGCGCAACCTCTCGAATACGTTTCGCAGGTGTTCCACGTGATCCCCTTCCGTCTTGCTAAATAACAGCAAGTCGTCCATATAGACCTGGCATACGGTTTCATCCAAACCTCTTAAGAATTCGTCCATTAAGCGCTGAAAGGTTATCGGAGCATTCTTTAGTCCAAACGGCATCCGGGTGAACTCGTAATGCCCCCTTTCGAATGTGAATGCTGTTTTATGTTGATCCTTCGGGTGCATCTTTATTTGGTGATAACCAGCTTTGAGGTCCAGAGTATTAAATATCACCGCCCCACTCAGCCTGTCCAATATGTCCTCGAATCTCGGGATCGGGTATTTCTCGTCTATCGTGTTCTCATTCAGCTTCCGATAATCTATTACCACTCGGTACTTCTCTTCTGTCTCGCCCGGCACTCCCTTTTTCCTCACCGCCCACAACGGACTGTTGTATGGAGAGGTGCTGTTGACTATTATACCCTGCTTTTTTAAACTTTCCAATTCTTCCCGAATATGCTGTCTAAGTGCTTGTGGATATCGCCTCTCCTTCAAGTATGACACCCGCTCCTGCTTTAGTGGTATTTCGTGGACTGTCCGTCCCGTTACGCCTAGTATCTCTCCCTCCTTGAAGAAGATATGCTCGTATTCTACTCTTATGGCCTTCCTCCAGTCCTCGACTCGATTTACCGCTCCTATCCGCGCTTTCGTACCCCTTATGCTCTCCGTACTTCTGTACCTCTGTCCTCCTAACTTGATCCTCCAAGTCCCATTCCTGTACTCGACTCTAATCCCTACTTGTCCGAATAGGTCGCACCCTATTATCGCCTGGTATTCCCGAGTTATGTTTCCAACAATGTGCACTTTCAAACTCCCCTTTCTACCTGCCCAATGGTTTAACTCAACGACCGCTTCCCCTTCCACATTACACGCCCCTCCTAGGGTAATTAATTTACACTCGCATCCCTGAATCCGGGGTGCGCTCTCCCTACCACACAGCCTCTCTAGTGCCCCACGGGTCATAATAGTGCAAGTACTTCCCGTGTCTATCAAGCACCTCACTCCCCCTTTTATCGTGATGATTGGCAACCAGCAAGACTTACCTCTTATGTTATTGCAGGTCGCTGTGCGGTCGCCGCTCTGAAGACACACTCCTCAGATCTTTGCCTGCTTGCTCCTCCTTGTTGCCGCTCGTCTTTGTCCGCTCCACTGCGTGCTCCTTCCTCCTTCGTCTCCGCTGCTCCCTGGTTCCTCTTCTTCCGTCTCCGAGGCCTCTGATATCTCCGTTACCTCTTCCGAAGGCTCGTTTCGTCGAGTCATATTAGGGTTCCTCCTCACCTTATGCATATTGACCTCCATCGGCTCATCTTGTGCCGTCTCCCTCCTTCTAAACATGTACGGACATTGCCTCGCAATGTGTCCTTCTGTCCCGCATTCGAAACATTTGGTGCGGGGGCATTGTGCCACTAGATGTCCCGTCCTGCCGCAGCCATGACACTTCCTTTCTTCCTTACGGGGTCCATTTCGTGGCCTGGGTGGTCCTGGTTTTCTTTCCCCTGTTGTGGTCCTTCCTCTATTTCCGTATCCAGACTCCCTTTTCTTCCACCCTATCGGTGCGGACCTGAAGCGTCTCTCGCTCACTCGGTTCCATCCAGCTTCCTCTATCTCCATTCTACTTTCTTCCTCCCTTCGACTATCTCCTGGGCACTCTCTAGGAACGACCGCTCTCTTGGTAAGCCGTCCCTCTTTCCCGTCTCCTTGGCCAGTTGAACCTTGAGGATAGTTGACAAAAACTCCATCCTGGCCTCTACTTCTCCTGCACTCATCATTTCGCGCATCTTCTTCGTGATGTGATTAAACTTCGCCAATAGTACTCCCGCATACTGCCCGTTTGTTTGTCGTTGCGACCGTCGTTCCCTGAACATCTGGAAGATGTCCTCCTCTGGAGTCCATCGGCCTCCCCCAAAAGCCTTCTTCAACCTCTGTTTGATCACCGGCCATGCTGTGTCTTCGTCTGCCTGTATCTGGTTAAGAACACTCCTCCGTACTCTACATACCAAGGCTGCTTTCAATGCTTCGGCATCTCCCAGGTTCACCAAATCTTCCGCCACCTTTGCCTCGATTCTAGAAATGAGACGGTCCCCACCTTTCAGAAAATGGTTCAGCTCGCCTATCTCTCCACCGAAGCGTTCCAAGTCCGCTATAGCTCTCCTTAGATCCTGAGTGGTCGCTGCTCTTACTTTCATCCACTCCAAGGCATTGGCGTGTGCTTCCGCCAATGTGTCCCTTGGTAGCGGAGGGATTTCCGGAATCTGCGGAATTTCCGGAGCCTGATGAACTTCAGGTGCAATTGATATTCCCGGGTTAGGGATTCCGTCAGTCGCCATTCTGCTTCTATTTTCCTGTTTGAGCAAGTAAGAGAGAAAAAAGAAAAAATAGTTTCCTACTTACTGGGCAATAACAATATTCCCGGGTTTCGGCACCACTTATGCGACTTTGAAATCAAACGATAAAAAAAAAGGAGAAAAGGGGCTGTTAAATGACTCACACGGCTTCAGAAACAATACTGCTTTATTTGTGAAGTAATCCTTCTTATATACACTTTAGAGCTTTGTTTACATACCAGGAAGGTATTAAGGCTGATACTGCCCGACTCCTGTCCTTATCTTATATATATATATATATATATATATATATATATATATATATATATATATATATATATATATATATATTAAAGAATTATCTCTAAAAGCAAAAGTATTATTATTCATATAATTACATTTTCAATAAGTTATCAAGAATTACTTAAACACTATTTGCTATAGGCAGTTAGTTTCTTTTTCTTTTTTTTAAACGTAATTATTATTATATATATGAAAAAAAGATCTGGTATTGAATCCTCCCCTTCCAAAAAAAAAAAATAAATCCTGGATCCGCTAGCGGCAAGGCGAGATTAATTATATGAAATGTAAATTATAAATAATAACTCATTATAAATATGATGAAATGCTGAACAATCCGCTTGCTTACGGTATGCAAGTCCGATTTTTAGTTTCTGAAATATTTTGATTCATGTCTTCCATAAAACTCGTTATAATTTAGTATTCGACACTGTTTTTTCTTATTTCCCATTTCTAAAGTCCACCTTACACGGTCAAAATTTTTGAGTCAATAGGGAATATATTGATCGTCTGAAGAATATATTGTAACAATTATATTGACATTTGTAATATGTATGTATACAGTGTTCAATACTATTGATTCAATAATATTGACAGTGTAAGGTGGGCTTAACACAGACAGCTTCGCGTTAAGATGCAATTTTGAATAATAGCCCATTACAGAGAGGATGAAGTGCTGAACAATTCTCTCGCTTACAGTCTGCATTTTTTAGTTTCTGAGATATTTTAATCCCTGTCTTCAATAAATCTCGTTATAATTTGGTTTTCTACCCTATTCCCTTTTCCTCTCATTAACACAGCGTCTCGTTAAAATACAATTTTCAATAATAGCTAATATCAAAGGGGATGTACTAACAATATGCAGGTCAGATTATTAGTTTTTAAGATACTTTAATCCATATGGAAAAACACTTCAATTAGTTGTCTGAAGCCGACTTTACCGGAGCGTTACACATCGGAGATCTGACGGCTCAATCTAGTTCTCTTAAAAAAAAAAAAAAAAAAAAAGAAAAATACAAAACGGCCTATAGAAGTTATCACTTCACAATAATTTGGTTCATAAAGTGTGTAATAAAATAGTTATGTGTCAAAAAAGAATGTATATTGATTTGAAAGCTTCCAGATGTTCGGAGGTTTGTTCGACTATGACCAAACTTTATGCTAAATCTCATTTGATAGGCAGAAATCAAATGTTTTGAAATATAAATGGGGGCTAGTTAAATGATCTCTATTTGATTCAATTAATTCTATTTTCAGTGAATTTTACGAATGATTTCAATATATATTTTTATATATGCAGTAAACGAAAAATCTATTTACATGTATATTGTGAAGGTGTTTAATTATTTTTAAAGCTCACAAAGAGTACAAAATATGAATATTTGTAATTTCTGAACACACATTGCGCATAAAATTTTGTTCAAATGGTTGACCAACCTGATTTTGTTGTCTTGCAATAGGCGATGGTAACAAAATGATATGTTATATATTGATATTTTTGTTTTAACTCAAGAAGTTTAAATGAATTAAATCTTCAAGATTGTTAAGTGTTTTTGTTTGAATGTTTCTCTGCTTCTAATTACTGCAACAGACATGTTTTAGTTTTGAGGTAGTGATATTTGGAATTATACAATCATTTTTATCAGTGTGTATTTTTGACAAGTTATGAGTTTATTAATGAATGATCTGTAATCAAATTAGCCTGACAAAATGTATTCTCCTTATATTGAAATATTTGTCTGTATTAGTTTCATATTCTTAGTTATGTATTACTTTTTTGGCTCATTTTATGTTTTGTTAAACTTAAACCAGTTAACAGGTTGGATGATTTTGATTATCTCCGATATTTTCAGAAAACAATTATCTTGAGTTCCAAACTATAAAGAAACAGAAGTGGAAGACCACCTTGTCCTGAATGAAGTAATGCAATGAGCAGTAGTCACCGTACCTATAGAAGGACTTGCAACAACAACGTTAATGTTGATAAGACTAGCAGCACAAGTGCTGGGATTTTCAATGAGTGTGATGAAAGTCGCACTAGTTTTTCTGCAATTGGCTGCAGATTGACATTACCATCTATCAGCCCCAGGACATCTTATAATAGAACCAAGTTTCCTAAAGATATTATTTGTAACAGGTAATTATTTTGTTCAAACTTGGAAGTTTTTTAATTTTGTGATTCATGTTGGAATTTGTTCTTGGATGTGATGTTAAGTGGTTTTTGTTATTGCTTTAGTGGTTTCCCATCACCTAGAGATTCACCAAGAACTGTTAAAAGCAGAACACGACCGACTACGAAAACGGGTTCGACTATAGGACAAGCTGCTTCTAAGGTATTTTATTGTTATTATAATTTTACATTTGTTTATGAAGAAGTATTTAAATTCTAAAATTGAGAGTGGGATCAACCTTATGTTAATTACTTATAAATCTTTTCTTAAGTTATTCTATTGGGAGGTTCTAAATCTGTTATTTTGAACATTAATTTTGTGTGTTATTGGATGTGTTTCTAATTTGATTATTTTTGGGGAAATATATTTTCAAATTGGAGCCAAATCAGCATCAATTATCAAATGTAAGTATTGATTTTGTAACAGCGTGTAAAAACTTAATTTGTTATTAATTTTCAACTGTTGCTTTGAGATAGGCCTACATGTTTTAGGCAACTATGAATTTGATCTATTATAATTTTATTATAGTATTATCTTTATGCTCACATTATTTCCCAAATCATTTTATATGCGATAGTTGTTTGCTTTACATTGCAGCATTCCTGCTATTTATGTTTGACAATTATTATGTTATATTATTCCCTTTAATGATGGTGTTTTTTTCTTCATAAAATATTGTTTGTTATTGCAAAAAGTAGCAAGTTAGAAAATTAATTACTTAAGTATTTCCGTGAATTTTCTCTCTGTGAAATCAAAACATTGTTGTGTAACTTGTTTTGACATATAAAAGTCTTAGTGTTATTCTGAAGCACTTTTAATTGTTTTTTGCAGAATTTAACATGATTGAAATTCATAAGTATGTTTTTTGAAGTTAAGCTCCATAAAAAGTTTATTTAGTTTCTTTTTGAAATAAACTAATGATATGTTTTTGCCAAATTGATTTTTATTCATTCCTGGATCTATGGTTATTTAATAAGTTATAATTTTAATAGTTATGCCACAACGTTATTTGGTGCCTTTTCATACTTGCACTTCAGTGTAACTGATTCTTTTTTTTTTTTTTTTTCTAATTTTTCTGTCTCTAAAAATTAATTTCTATAGCAAATTGATAGCAAGGTTGGTGATCTTAGATTTAAATGTATGGAGAGTATATCCATGTTTTGATCAGGATAGTTTTCATTTGTTTCTTTTACTGTCATAAAATTTAGGAACTTATTAATAAATTTCCACACTCTACCATTTCTATTATTACTAAGAATTTTTGACTTACTTAGATTATAGAAAAAATAAAATGTAGAGCAAATCAATACTGCAGTTTTCATATGATTTAATAAAGAATATAGAATTGTGGGGTAACATGTGTTATGATTAATAAGAGTGCAATATTATGTTCTGATGTAAAATAAAGTTAAATTTTCATTGAGTAATGTAGAGCAATAAATGAAGTTTCTAAATCTTATTTTATCTCTGGTGGGTACCCGGCATGTTGGTTTATCATCTAGCTCATTTTTCATTGTTTTTACTTTTTGCTTGTTAGATTAAATTTGGTAAATCTCTTAATTTTAAAAATTAGCATCATTTGAAATTATTTATAAGACTTTTTAGAGTTTAAATGTTTAATCAGAAAACACCCTTTATTTCAAATATGAATTGTTAAATAAACAGTTTTTATAATTTTATCTGTTACTTAAATTTATATTGGTCAGTAAAAAGTATAGTTATTGATGGATCTTTTTGAGTGACTTTAAAGGGAAAGCATTAAACTTTAAATCTGGGCAAAGGGTTGAGGTAACTCAAAACTTTACTTTATGTGGATTGAAAATAAACTATTTTTGTCTGTTACTCAGCTCTACAAAATGGCTATCTTTTTGTTCCTCCAATGGTTGATGTTAAAAACGCAACAGAACATCACCTTTTCACAGCTTTCATTCTACAAACAGTACATTTTTGTCAAGTAGTAATTCCATAAGACTTCATGGGTTGTGATATATTTTTGAAACTTCAAATTTAAGTTTGATGTTCTTATTTATAGTTGTATTGTATCAATTGTATTCCTCAATTGTTAGGAGTTTACTAAGTTTTTAAAATAAATATCTGTTTTTCCCACTCACAACTGCTTACAGAATCTGGTCAATCAATTTATATCTCATGATATAAAGGCAAGGAGCTTAAGATGGGTGGGGCATGTAGTTTGTAGCAATCCATTAGAAAGCCTTAGCATTACAATAAATGCCTATGTAGAAGGCAAATGACCACATGAAAGATCAAAAATCAGATGGATAGATAAAATCAATAAAGATAGTGCAGAGTTGTGTGCAGAGGAGGAAAAGGCTAGTTCTAAAATCCATCCTCATGGCTTTCCTTATTGATATAAGTAATAAATCCAGTATAAAAATTTCTTATTTAAGTTGAACTTTTTTATATTAAGTTGAATTATATTGATTTAAAATGAGCATTTGGAGTGTTCTGGAAGATCTGCAATTCCAAGTTATTTGAAAAACTAAAAACAGTGCATGGTTTCTATGAGAATATGTACAGAACGAAATAGCTCTAATCGACAACAAAACAGTGTTTGAGAATCATTATTTTGTGTTTGCTTTACAGACCATGTAAATCTTAACCAGTTGATGCCATTTCTGCCTATCTTGGGTTATTTCTTTCCAATCATGCATGCAGTTCTGCAGTATTTTAGTTGGGTTAATCTATTCATCTGGTTTTCGGTCTTCTACGTGTTCTCTTGCCTTGAGGTATCCATTGTTATGTAAAGATTGCCTGATGAATTACTCGGAGCTACATGCTCCACCCATTTTCCTTGCCTTTATATCATAAGATATTGATTGACCAGTTTCTGTAAGCATTGACAAGAGTCCATCTCCCTGCCGCAAGCCATTTCGAACTTAGAAGGCTTCAGATTTCTGATTCAGGCTTTAGATAATCCTTAGTATTGTATCATAACATATGAAGATATCATTTTCTACCTGTCTTCATCAATTTCACCATCTCCCTGGTACTCCCTTCAACTTAGTTATGGTCTTTCAAAATCAGTTCTTGTCAACTGAATCATATGCTGCTTTAAAATCAACAATTAAGGCGTGCATTTCCTGAGCTACTTCTCATCATTTTTGGAACACCTGTTTAAGAATAAAGATGGTTGCCTATTTTAATTTATTATTTGTAATATGGGTATATCCGGTTTAGCAGGATATTAGTCATTATCTCGTAGGCCACCACATAAAAAGGAATGCTATGCCTCTGTAATTACTACACTCATACATGGAGTCACTAAAGCAAGCAAAAAAAAAAAAAAAAAAAAAAAAAAAAAGAGAAGTCTGACAAGTTGGGCCAATAAAGCTTCCTCACCATTTCTATTGGGAACATTATTATATATATTTCAAGGTCAATGCTTTGTCATGTGGGATTATAGAGGTACTAACTCACACAAGCCTTAAAAAATTTATCAAAATCAGATTCATGATTGGGATATGTAAAATCTACTCTACGTAACAAGAAGATTTTATTTTTTATATTTAATAATTTGCATACTGTATTGTTGAATTACAAATAAGTTGATATAATAATAGCCTTTATAATTATAACAATATAATACTATAATATATAATAATGAATAAATTACAAAATAATAAGGAAAATAAGTTGATGCAATTACATAAGAGAGAGGAATCTATTCAGTTTTACTCTAATTGTAATTGATCAAGAAATGAAAATCAATTTAAAACCATTCTTGTTAGTCTAATTTAAAATAATTCCTTCAGAAACTTGTTCAGGGTGCTTAGGGTGTGAACATATCAAAAATCGTGATGGTAAACTTCCCCCTCCCTCTCTGAAAACTGCTGTAGAGTGACATCAGTTTAGCAGAGCAAGGCCAGTATCAACAAGAAGGGTGGGAGACGGATATAAGTACCCAATGCAAATATCAGATAAAAGTATCTAACCCTCAGTGCATCTAGTCCAAGTAATAGATAATAGACAATTTTAAGTGTCCACTTATACTTCAAAAACGGTGTATGGCAGGGGTAAATTGCCTAATAATAAATGAAAGTTTATAAAATTATCTAAAACTTTTATTCTGTAGGTTTTCCCCGAATTCTCAACTGTTTTCGAACTAAAAATTCGGAAAAAGTTGAAATTTTCGAGAGAAAAAAAAAACACATTTATTTTATATCACATTTTGTTTCAAACTTTCCTCCATATTGTCTAAACTGTACATCAGCCAAAGAAATTCATTTAAAAGAAGTTGTAGATACTTAAATTCCCTAGTAGAATATATATATATGCAAATTAATCTCCAATCCTATATGCAAATTAATCTCCAACCAGTTTACAGTTCAGCTATTTAAAACTTTTTTGCAAAATGTCATTTTCAGTAAAAGATATTTTTATCATATAAATAAACAGTTTCAAGAAACACAATTTATAGGGATGTAGGAGTGCACGATAGGGGGGTCTGGCCCGTCTTGTGCCATTCCTGAGGGTGAAGATGCCATGGACGAACGAAAAGAACCCTTGCCAGGACCTGCACATCCAAAGTGGATGAAAACATGAATCCATATAAAATTGTGAGTGTAATATTAACATGTTATTGGGAAGAGTGATAATAACGATGTTTATAATTTTATGTATTTAATGTAACAAAATAGAAATAAAATGTAATAAAATTATCATGAGACTTTATTATCTATAAAATACAATATTAATTTTTTCAAATAACATTACTTTTTTTCAACTTTATTTAATAATTGGATTTAAAGTGTGGCCACACATATTATTAGACAGACGAATAAAAGTTGTGGGTCAAGAATATGGTAAAACAACTTTTTCTGAAAATGACATTTTACGAATAAATTTAAAATAGCTGTAATTGTAGACTGATTAGGGATTAATTTTCATACGTATATATATATTCTGTAGGGAATTTAAGTTTCTTCAACTTCTTTTAAAGGAATTTCTTAGGATAACGTATAGCTTAGATGATATGAAGGAAAGTTTGGTGAAAAATGTGAGATTGAATAATTGTTTTTTTTTCGAAAATTTCAACTTTTTTCTGCGCATGTATTTCGAAAACGGTTGAGGATTCGGGAAAAGCTTATAGAATAAAAGTTTTAGATAATTTTATAAACTTCCTTTTATTATCAGACGATTTTCCCCTGCAAAACACCGTTTTCGAGATGTAAGTTCAAACCTGAAAATTGTGATCTTTCCTCCCTCCCTCCTCCCCCCTTCTTCCAGCTCATGACCTAGACGTCAGGACTTTTGGTATGTTCACACCCTAAGCACTATGAACTCTGTACGGGTTGATACAAGAATTTTGTATCTGGATACAACTGATACCCCCTACTTTTTTGTATCTGATACTTTTGTGTCTGATGCAGTATTTATGCATATCTGTGTGACTGCTTCCTTCTATAACTTTACAATAATTCTAATACCTGTTTCTATAAATATTAGGTGTGGGTCAGATAAAAATACCCATGCCGCTTGTTCTTGATACACTGAGGGTTAGATACTTTAATCTGATTCTTGCATTGGCTACTTTTGTGTGTTCCTCACCCTTTTTGTTGATGCTGGACTTGGCTCTGCTAAACTGATGTCACTTTAGAAGAGCTTTCACACTTTACTTATTGAAATATTTCTCATTTATTGACATTCCATCATTTCTCTCGGTTTTCAAATAGCTATGTTTCTATACTTTATTTTCAATTCCATTAATACAATCAACTGGAAAATCTTATTTATTCCAATGACATAAAACCAATTAATCTATATATTTACCGCAATACTCTTCATACTCAGTACACTAACTACTTACCAAAATATTCAATATTTAATTTGAATATTGAATATTTTTAATTTGAATCAAAGCTATATAATTGGTTTAGAAGTAAAATAATGTTTTTGGACGTACATATTAGTTCGGAAATGAAGATTTTCTAGAAATATTATTATCAATGAACATTATGATTCAAAAGTAAAAAAAATGTATAACGAAACTATACTAAAATAGTAGATATGAAAGTTTATTTAATCAATTGAAGTATAATTATAAATTAGTAATTAAAATTTATAAATGGGTATGTATCTAACAGTATTATGTACAAATAAGTCATAAAATCTGAACTAATAAAACAAATGAATGGTCCATTTTAGAGAAAGTTTACACAAATAACCATTGCATTAAAAAAAAACAAAACATAGAAGCCTGAATAATTTTATCTACAAATAAACATTTAACTAAATTAAAATAAATGAATAGATAGTTTTAAAGAAATTGTGTGCAACTAAAAATATAAAATTCCTCTTCTATCTATCTGGCAAGTCTGTACAACCATTTGTATCTATGTGAGGATCTGTATCAGATAGTTTTGGGTTATATCTATTGCTTATATCAGCTACTTTTAAGTATCGGATATATACAATCTTATCCATCTCTACTCCGAACAGGTTTCTGAAGGAATCGCTTAAGCACCCCTGCTCACGCACTCTATACCTCATTTCTTGACTAAATTATTTTTTAAATCAATATGAAAGTTTGCATTACATTACATTCATGTTTACAAATTTCCATAAGCTGTATCTTTAATAATATTGTTCCAATTTCGATAATTTTTTTTACTTTGTTGGTAATTAAGTTATCTTTTAAATAGTCATTAGTTTTTGAGTTATTTCCAAAAAAAAAGTGCATTTTTTTTTCTTGAAATTTGGGGATGATGTGACTATTTTTCCTACCTGAAGGAGAAGAAAATCTTCAAAATGATGGCTTTATCTTTGGATTTGATGAAGATATGGTGTACTGACAAAAAATGCCTTGGTGTTTTTTCACAATTCTGTTAGCTGTAGATCTCAGCATCTTGAGCATTATTGCAGCTTCAACAGTTCTCATTCTCCTATATTGTGATTTTCTTTGCGTTCATTTCTTTGCTCTTACAGCTTCATTACAGTTTTTATTCCGTCATGGTGTGTTTTTTATTACTTTAGACAGTTGGATTATTTTCTTTGATTACCTAAAGAACCAACTTGTTCAAATAAATTTTTTTCATCCACATTCTGCCCATATGAAATGGTTTATAATCGTTTAGTAATAAATTTTTCATAACCTCTCCAATTTGCTTTTTCATATCTCCATCTTATGTTTGATGGCATGTTAATAATGGTCTTCCATGTTTCAATAACAATTGGGAAGTGATCATTACTTTATAAGTGGTTCTTTTTACTTCAATTTTGGACTTAAGTTGAGTACCTAGGATGTGAGAAACTCTTCTATTGCAGAAAAATTATTGTTTTGTGATGAGAAATGGGTATTATCTCCTGAATTTAGAAGTATTGCTTTCAAGGAATTTTATAACATTTCTATTTGTGTGATTTAAATGAGGAAGCTTGGAGTCCCATATAGTGCTGTGTGCATTGAAGTCTCCTTGTAATTATCATAAAAGGTTTTGGTAGTTGCTTTACAATTCTCTCTAGCTCTGTATCAGAAAATTCTTGTGAAGAAGGTTTGCATATTTTGCATACAGTCAAAGTTTCGTTCAAGTGTATCTTTACAGCGAGTGCTTCAAATTGAGTTTGCAATTTAGTTCTCCTCAATGAATGTTTTCCAAGATAAATGTGGCCACTCCTTCCCACCGTAATTCAGACAGTCTGTCTTTTCTAAATATTTTATAGTTTTCTGTTTATTTATCTTTGAGATGGTTTTCTTGTATTCAACATCAAATCGGGTTTTCTTCAGCCATTAGTTTTCTAAAGTGTAATAATTTCATTTTGTTCAAAATCTCAATTTAAAATTCGTGACTTTTTCTTGTTCATTACTTCTTACTTTTTTGTTTAAGTGATCGTTGGAGCATAAGAATGGTACAAATAAAGTGTTTAGGTATTTTCATTACCTATACTTCATATATAAGTTGTCATAAGTCTCTTTCATTAATAAGAAGAAAGTTATTGCAGTTTTAAAAATTATTCTTCGCCACTACTTCTGGCATCATTATGATCATTTATTTCCCAACTTTTTAGTTTAGAACAACTTTTTTTTTTGGCATGATTTTTTCTTTTAAGAAGCAAGGTGTTTATACTGTGATAAACATAGACTGAGTCAACCACTAAGAAGCATCAATGGACTAAATGTCATCATCTTAAAATATAAGGACCAAATGGGCTTTTCATAATTTTGGACGTTTCGAGAATTTATCAGGAAACAGAAACTTATTTAGCATTTTCTAAACAACAAAAATTACTTTAAAAAACTTACTTTTGTAATTTTTTTTTTGTGTGTTTACACTCTCAAAATTACTAATTATTTTGTTAAAATGTATCAATCAAATTTTTATTCGAACAGAATATACAGTTTTGTGCATATTTATAACTTAAAATGTCCAATTGCATTAAACAAAAAAAGTTAAACACTTGCAATTTCCTGCATAGAAAAATTTACTTAAGGATTTGTGTGTAGAAGGAGAGGGAGAGAAGATTGCGGACAAGAATCACACATTATTTTGGTGGAATTTATTTATAGCTTGCCTTTCAAATAAAATTTACTTATATTAATTAAAGAAGCCTTAATTTGTTAAAATAAATTCTTCTTAATTAATTTAAAGCAAGTGGAAAAAAGTGTAACTTACGAGAATTTAGACTCTTGTGATAAGAAATAAGATAAGTACGCTAGGTCCTGGTACTGGTGGGGGGGGGTCATAGTCCGTCTAGAAATCCCTATTATGATCTTTTTTGGCCAACCCTTAGTAGAGTGGGAACATCAACATCCTAGGGTCGTTGAGAAATGAAAATTAACCTACTCAGGTACAAATCGAACCTGCAATGTTCAGAACCCGGCACTCTGGGACCCATTCTCCAATGAGTTTGGCCATCATGTCCTCAAGTATGCTATGTAGTTTTATGGATGTTTATGTGTGTAAATATACATACATGTATTATTTTTTTTTTTTTGTCATTTCATTAAGTAATATAACATTTTATCAAATATATGGACAACTGTTATAGTCAGGAAAGAATTCACACCATATTTACAGAAAATATAAATAATTAAAATATAAAAAAAAAAAAATCTGCACCGCTAACAAACCATGAAGGGTCTTGGGTTCAGTACAACTATTTCAAGGCCAACGATTGTGCAGGGAGCTGACGGGCCAATATCACATTCAACTGCCAGGTTTTCTCCCATAATTAATTATTTAGTTAAGAGTACCCGCTTTATAGAGGCTGGGTTAGCCCCAAGAGGTCTTCCGTCCACAGGATCGACCCATGGTTGATGAAAAATCTACTCTGCTCCCCAATTAAAATATAACAGAAGCAAAATAACAACTATATAATAATCTATCAACTGCATCTCTGACACTAAAGCCAGTGGAAATTGAGCAAGGGCTCTTTAGCTACACACACTCACTTTTTGAATGGAGAATCTGGCTACTACCAAAACTCCAATATATATATATTACAAAAGGTCGTGTTGCTACTGCCATTTCAATCTTCTAGGAGGATTGAAGGATGAGTGGTTCTAAACGGAGATTGTGCATTTGACTATTGTTTGAAGAACTTTAGATTGGAAGGATTGGATGCGTTTGATGTTGAAAAATTTCTCTATAAAAAGGCTGTCTCCCATATTTCTAGTCTATAGGTCTAGAACACTAATTTGTTTTCAATAGTAAGTTGTAGTTTTCTATCCATTTGTCTATATAGCTGACTATAACGTGTAGTATGAGGGTTCCATGTTAGTCTTCTGTCCAAGAGAATAAAATGGAGAATAGAAAACCAAGATACTGGACTGTGTCTGAATAAGGAAGCTGGATGAAGTTAAAATAAACTGGTGGACTGGACCTTTGTCGAAGAGTAAAGATGATCTGTTTGCATTTACTTTGTTTTGATGCACCACTTGTTGGACTAATGTTCAATCAAGATGAGGAGCGTTTTTAGATTTAAGAATATTATTTTGGGATCTGAGTTGGAAGAAAGACTGGCAGTACCATCAGCAAATGTTACCAGAAAGGTATCAAGATGAACATGAATATCATCGGTGATGGTGTCATGGTATCATGGTAAAGAACGGGATGGTATCATGGTAAAGAACGGGACCCAAGACACTGCCTTGGGGCACACCGGTCTCAACTGGATTACAATTGGAGAATTATGTTCCACAGTGAACACGAAAGGAGCAGTCAGAGAGTTAAGACCATTTGGTTTAACCAGAAATAAGGACTGGAATAATGGCTATGGAGTGGAGGGTGGCTTGTGCTATCCCCAGAAATGTACCCAATCAATAATTCTTGCTTCCAGGGCTGAGAAAATATGATCAACAATCCAGAATCCTTGTTGGACTATGGAATGTTGTGAACAAAAAATCTTTCTCCCTGATAGGAAGAAAGATTATTTGATTCTCTAACTGGTAGAATTTGTCTGAAAAGAATCTTTTCAAATGTTTTTGCAAGAATTGGGGGTAGGCTGATTGGTCTATAGAATGTCAAGCTGTTGGAAGGTTTTCCGGGCTTTAGGAAGTTGTTGAAGGATCTGAGAGATAGGGAAATTTTACCCAGAAGATTTACAGGGAATTAGTCTTTGTAAACAATGTTTGACCTCAGTAGAATTAACTGCATTCGGTGGTAAGGAAGATAGTGGGAAAGATGATGTAAGGAATTCTTTGAGTGTTGTAGTGTGGGTGGGAAGGGATTCCATGAGTGGGATGAGGAGTAAATGTTTCAGAAAGATGTATATACTTCGACAAATATATTTTTTGTATTTGATTTCCTGATAAATGAACTGGTTTGTGAATGATCCAAGATAGGCGCTGAAGGTGGATTTGACTGGTACAGAAATCTGTATTTCTATATCTGTATCTAATTTCTATACAAAAATCTGTATAGAAAAAAAAATAATATGCCACTCTTTTTTGTAATAATCTGAAAACTGTTCGGACAATCAGGTAGTTTTTGAACCTTTAGAATTAGATATGAGTATTGTTCATAGTTTTTTTTAGTTGTATATGCCAAAAAAATGTTGATTTCGTTAATCCATGTTAAAATTGACAGTAGTTTTATTTTGTATTCATTTCTTTTTTTGAAATACTTCCTTTGGATTTAGCTAGTTTTATTACTCTTTTTATAAACAAATGTTTTATAGACTTGGACTGTGGGCAAAATCTGATCCAGAACCTGATATATTTTAACGTGTTGGTTTAAATACTTTTATTATTTTTATAAAGGAATTGTATACTCTTGCATTTAATAAACATTACAATTAATTGAATCAAATTAACAAAAAATAAATATATGGTTTTTAAGGTGTTTACATTTTTCGATGTTTAACAGTCAGTACCAGTTTGGATCAATATTTATCAACTAAAAAAGATAGTTGTTCATTTTAAATAAGAAACAATGTTAAATAAGAAGTAGCTAATAGTTTTAATGTATCAAAATATTTCTCTTGGTTTATTTTTATCTTTATCTTATGTCACTTAAGCCAAATTTTGGATTTTCAAATCGAACCTAGTAAATTTAAATTAAATATTTTTTAAATTATTAATTATTGATCCTAAAATTATAAATAATGAATTTTTCCTTTGAAAAATCTGAACTCCCTGAAGTAATTTAGCAGCATCGATTAAAAATGTAGTCATAAATGTCTTTTAAACTTGCTGCAGTTTCTAAAGTTGCTTATTTTATTTTTATGACAGATCCTTCAACCTTGGCTGTCTTATTACACTTAAATGTTAAATAAGAGTATGGTCATTTTCTTCAATTTGTTCCTTCTTGGAGTCCTCAATTTTCTCTCTCGTTTGGCACAACATGTATGTAGTATTTATGAGTTAACTTATTTTATATTAATTGCTTCATTATTATCACGAATTTGATCATATTTCTCAATATCTATGTATTCTTGAAAAATCTAGTTTTTCATGACAATTAATTTAATTTAGCTTTAAGTTATAGAAGCTTGAGTCGATAAGTTGTTTATTCTGCAATAATAAAAAATTATTCATTCACGATTGAATTGTTCCAACAAAATTGATTCAATGCTTAAAATAGTTTATTTTTTGTTTGCATAAATACATGATAGTTATTATTCAGGTGCCGCTGCCCAAGGTGTTTGGTAGAGGGAGGCGTGCAGAAGAAATATCACCTCCCGGTAAGCCAGTACCTTCCAACGACACCAATACCAATGAAAGTAAATCAGCCCCTAGAGTTGTTGTAGGGTTACCACCTACCAAAGAAGGTTTAAAACTCCAGACTGAGACATCCTCTGTCTTTCATGCCAAAGATGACCAAGGCCCTGTACTCACCCCTGAGGCAGAAGTTCCTGGAGAAATTCCACCCAGTCAAGCACAGGAAGATGATGAAGAAAAAGCTATCGGGGTTTCACCTGATGGCAGGTAACAACTGTCTTACTTATCTAATATCTATTCTATTAATTGATTGTTATTTTAGTTGTCTTTAAAGAATTGAGTATTGCTGAATTAATGGCCATGCATTATTATTGTTTGGCATAAAATCATTTTTCAAAAATAACCATTTTCGGAAAATCAGGTAGATTTGTATTCAAAATATGGATGATTTATAGTATTAAATTGTAGGCAACAGTTACGTTTATTAGAATGTCAGTACTAGTTCACATGAGTTCTGCACAGATTACGCGTTGTTCTCAATCACTTCGATCACACTTTTCATGGAATCCCGAAAACAGCCAAATGTTTCCGTCTTTTATGACATCAGCTATTGCTCCCACCACACAATCCCTTATCATACATTTTGAAAAAAAAAAGTATTCCCTTAATGAAACTTCCATATTAACGAATTATGTATTTACTAATTTGTTAATTATTAATTTTATTTTAACGGTTATTACTCTGAAAGAAAAAGATATATATATATATATATATATATATATATATATATATATATATACATATATATATATATATATATATATATAATGATGTTTGATTTGTCCTTCAATGCCTGTTAAAAAAAAAAATGCTTTTAGAAATAAAAGTTTTATTGACATGTGCTTACATGTAGTGGCTGTAAGTACGCATATACTGGTGTATATTATCTTTTATAACTGTGTATAAAAGATTTTTTTACCATTTGGATGATGACTAATCTGAAGTTATCTATTATCCTTTTATTTGTTATTCGAGTTTTTCAATAGAAGTTGAAATAATTGAATTTACAATTTATTTTAGCAAGCCTTTTTTTAGATTTGCGCTATTGTCTATATAGTGTATATAACTTTTTTGAATTCTTAGATATACAGATCCACTATTTTCTAGTCGTCGGAGCTTTTTATGAATATACTGTCTGATTTGAAATTGTTCATCAAACTTCTGTAGGTTTTTGGATTTCGTAGATATAAGAGTCAACTATTAAGTTGTCAAGGACTCTTTTTATGTAATTAATGGCAGATTAAAGATTGTACATAAAAAGTGGACAATATTAATGTATAAAATTTATCTATTAATCGTTATCTAGATAAATATTTATTCCAATAATGTCCAATCCCAACGGGACCTATAGATCTGATAGTTGGAATATACTGTTAACTTTAAATTTATTTTCTCATTTTAATTATATTATTTTTGTGAGAAGGAGTTAGTCAGGGGGTGCGGTCAAATAAATACTAAATTTTTCAAATAGTATTTTAATCCTTTCTTTTCTCAACATTCTCATTTCATCCTCAACATTCTTCATTTCATTCCTCAACTCCTTCTCATATTGTATCATGGTCAACCATTTTTATACCACTATATTATTTTTATTGAATGAATTAGCTGCTGAATTATTGTTATTCGTAGTTATTTTGCTTAGTAATCCAAAATGGAGGTTATTGTAGTCATTCATAAAAAAAAACAAAAAAAAAAAACATTTATTTTCGAGGAAGAAATTTACGTATTGGGGAATCAACTGACGAAGAATATCTGATAATTCCAAGATAATGATTAATGGAAATCAGCAATAAGAAAAATAATATCGTGAAATAGCATTCAAAGGTATAATAATTAAAGGTTTTTATTTATTACTATTTCTTTTCCACAGCTGTATAATATATATACAAGTTCGATTAAGGTTACATGATGTAGCCTAAATTTCGAATATAAGTCGGCTCCTGCTGTATAACTAAACATGGTTAATGTTATAGAGTACTTAAATGGAGAAGTAGTTAAATAGCGGGAAAGTTAAATAGTAACTGACTCAAGAGATCGGTGGCCTTCGTTCTCTTTCGAATAAACCCAAACGCATTCGGCACTCCATGAACAAGTGTGACCGAATGATATTGCACCACGTGTAATCTGTGTGAAACAGAATACCCAAATAGGTATTTTTGACTACAGAAGCAATGGAGTAATCTTCAGTAGTTGTCAATTGAACAGTAATGCCCTGTTCACAGTTGCTTCAACCATCAAATGAACTGATTCAGAGTGCAAACTTATATTATTCTTTTAAATAAAATGACCAACTGGATAATACTCAGCCTTTCCTGATTAATGAGTACAATGAAGAATGGGTGAATTTCGTTATCTGGGTGGAAGTTTAGACAGCCAACCAATATAAAAAACAAAATATGATTGTGGAAATTTTTGATGAACTCATTGAACATGGCTGTTGCTGCTGGTCGGTTAGAATATTTAGAATTTCGGGCTACCAGTGACATTGAACCTCCCTGGGTTTTGACAAGAATTGAAGGCAGCCTACCTGGACCTTGGAGGCATCCTTTTCCAAGCATCAGGAAGACTAGAGAATATTTTATCATCAGTTCATTTTAAAGTTGGTTTCCATAGTGCTGCAAATACTATAATTACTTTTTTTAAATGCAAAAATAAGGGCATAAAGATCTATATTTCCAAGCACAAAGAATTTATTTCACCCAGGGATGAAACAAGAAATGCGCAGTTCTACTGTAATGGAGAACAATTGCAAACTACTAACGATCATACCTACTTAGGAAAATAATTAATAATAATGTAATAATACAGCAAGGATAGACCGAAAATTTCAAACAGAATAAAAATAACAAATGAGTTATATTATCAGATTTGAAACACCATTGTAGGTATAAAAGAAGTGAGTAACAAAGTTAAACCCCATGTTTTTAAAGCAGTGTTTCTCCCTATCCTGATGTACCGAAGTGAAAGTTGGGTCGCAAATAACAGAAGTACCAGCCGAATTACCGCAGTTGAGATGAAATACCTGTGGACATAAAATGAGAAAGAAGAGATTGTGCTAGGAACAAAAGGATAAAAGACAACTTTAGAGATCCTTGCATTAAAAGATACCTTAAATCAATGCCAGTTGCGGTGGTTGAATCATATATGCAGGATGAATCAGGATCGAAACCCACGGAAGGTGGGTATTAATTTTACATATTCATTAAATTAAGTACATTTAATGAATATGTCCGCAAGCCGGCAGAAAAATAAGAGAATAATCTTGCCTAAATGAGGCATCTTGAACAAGATAGGCAAGAATGAATTAGATTTATCGAGGCTCCTCCACACTGAAAGCTATATGAAGAAAGGAAAGAAGAAGAATGCAAAAATAAAAAAAAAGACCAACTGAGAATTAATCATATTCAACAGTTTATCATCTAGTCATGGAATTCCAATGTAACAACCTTGTTATTTAATTTTACCCTGAGAAAATTTTTCTATTTAAAAATCTTAATAATCAATTATGTTGCCCTAGCCTTTTTTGTTTTCTGTCTTTCCCATGGTACATACCTTCTTTATTTCATAAGTTAAAAAAAATCAATATTTATAAAAATAAAAAGCCTAATCAGTATAGGCCATTGTTCCAACTTTAACTTACTGATATTGGTATATTTCATTTATCTACTTTAATTTGATATGGAAGCTAAATAAACTTTAATTTGTCAAGAAATAAATAATTTTTGTTGCATAACCTTAATCTTATTCTTGCTTTTGCTTTTATTTACAAATAACTAAAGAATGTTATATGTTGTATTGCTGAATTAAAAGCATTCTTTATTTATAAGTATATATATGATAAATATATAAACTGCTCCAATCTTTGCCATTGAGTATGTCTTAAAGTTCATTGCGGTTTATGATTTTTTTTCTTAAAATATTTGATTCATTATTCCTGTAAAATCGGACAAACAGGGACGTAGTTGTATACATCCTCTATTTCATTAAAAGGCTCCACAATCTAAGTTGCTAACTCATAACATTATTGTTTTGAAACAACAGTTGTCTACGCAATTTAAATATATCTTTAATAAAATGCATTTTATTTACATCTGATATGTAATGCCTTTCACCTAAGTCGCTGTTTAAATCCTTACAAAGGTCATGAAATCTAGACACTCCAGCTTTTTCTCTCATATCCACTTTAAAATTATTTTCTAATTTAGTTAAAATATGCGAAATTACTTTGGTTTTATATATACTTATATTATACTGAAGGACATATGTGAAGAACTAAAGAGGAGTTCAGAAATAGTTCAGTTAGTACATTGGAACAACAGCAATGAACAAATCAATTGTCCATGAAGATGGGACAAAGGTCCTGAAATTTCAAGAATAGAACATAAATGTATAAGGAGAGGTTCCTTCATAAAAAAAACCTATAAAGGAATATTATGAAAAATTTGAAAGCCAAAGTAAAATTTGATTTGTAAATGATTGTTTCAAATCGCATCACTTGCCACTAATTCATTTTAACTCTGAACTGTAATTTTAATATCAGTCTGTAATTTTAGTTTTTTGCATTTATCAAAAAGTAGTACTAAATGCTGTCCAGTTCTCGATTTTAAGGCACCCTAATGACCTTTGCGGATTTCCAGATGTTTTGAGTTTTAGACTTATTATTTGTAATAGTAAATGGAAAGTGGCTGCACAGAACAGAGAAATTTGGCGAAAGTTCATTGAAGAGGCCAGGAGGCACTGAGGGGTTGTAGAGCCATTAAGAAAGATAGATAGATTATTTGTAATACTGTTGTATGATTATTATTTTAGTACTGGTGGTAAGTGAGATTATTAAAACTTGGGCATTTTCATTGATATTTATGTATGCCCTATTTTTGTTTTGTAAATTTGTTAAAAATTATATTTCTTATAAGTTGTTTGTTTTATTTGCAGATTTCTTAAGTTTGAAGAAGAAATAGGACGTGGTAGTTTTAAAACAGTTTATAAAGGTTTGGATACTGAAACTGGTGTGGCTGTGGCATGGTGTGAATTACAGGTTTGTGAAAAATTAGTCTTATTAGTATTTTCAGTTATATACCAGATGATTAAATATGAAACCAGAATTTTATAGAATATTTGATATATATATTTTAAACAAATATTTAATTCGAAACATTGTCCATTACTAGCTACACATTTTACCCATCTCCATGGCAATTTATGAATGCCATTCAAGAAAAACTGTTGCTCTTTTGTGGCAAACCGGTCATCAAACCATTTTTAAAACATTTTCATAAAAAGTGAAGCTCTGTTGAGCTAGTGCATGTTCCATAGGTGCAAATAAATTAAGGATAGAATCAAATCTGGTGAATAAGCCTCATGCGCTAATATTCCCCAACTGAATGCCTCAGTTGTTTTCTTCACTGGATTTACTGTGCTTGATAGTGTATTATCATGATGCAAAATCACTTTCTGTTATCGTTTTTGATATTCTGGTAATTTTTCATGCAATACTTGATTCAAATTGATCATATATTGTCGATAGCATTCAGTATTAATGGTTTCTTCAGGTTTTAAGAGTCCATAATAGATCACAGTCTTCTGTTTGCAACTAACAGAGCATTTTTTTCTTTCCATAGCTAATTGTTATTGCAATTGATATTGATAGTTTACCTGGAGGATGGTTACCCATGGTTGGTAGATGCTGATTAGAGACCGGCTTTTCATGCAGTAAAAATCCAAAAAGAGTAAAATTGTGTATATAACAACTTAACAATCATAAACAAACAAATAAATCATAATTTTAATTTTTATAATATTGATATATGAAATGCTTATCTACTCTTATATTAGAATTTCAGCCTCTAAGTTGAAGTAGACTTAAGTGTATTAACTTGAGAAAATACCTAGTTCTAATTCAACAATGAACACCGATTAACCTAAATCTAGATAAAAGAGGAGCAACTTATATAAACTTAATTGTATATTATTTAATAACAGAACGTGCATTCTTGAGTTAAAGCTTGTTGATATAGGTCGGACCCCCTTCGGAACATGGGCTCTCCCACCCCCTCTTGTCGGTGCTGGATACAGGTGTAAATAAATTTAAATAAAATATATATATATATATTTGAGTAAATTCGAAGCTCTTTATCTTTTATTGAAATCTATAGCGCCTGGAGTAACCTGGGAGCGTTTGTCAAAGAACATTCGGCTAAGGGTCAAGTGGCAATAAGACTTGTTTATTTACAGATACTTCTATCTTGTTTGGAAACTGGTAAATAAACACATATTATTTTAGTTTTGTAACCTCGAATAAAAATACCAAGAGAATAAGGAGCTGTATATATCTATATTAAATTATATGTATATATTTGAATACTAATTTTCCTACCTATAACAAACATGTTGAATATAGAAGTCTTTCAAGTTATCTTCCTATGATGAAAGGGTAAAACCCAGGTAAGTTGGAAAATTTTGAATAAAAAATTAAGAACAAAAAAGTTACAATCTACTTTCCAGCCGCATGCCCATACTGAATCTTCTAGCATTCTATACAGTGACATGCGGAACATAGGTTGGACACCCCTATTCTGAACTATAAATCTAATATATAAATAAATCAAAAAGTTAAATGCATAAACAACTATGTCATGTATACATCATGTGTTGCACCAACAGCTAGTAGAATCCACTATATAAAGATGACAGCCAGTTAGCCTATATAAAGATTGTACATTTGTTTTTTTGTTTACAGTGACTCAGGTATATAGTCCTGTAACTTTCTTCCGTGTGACTCTATCCAGTTCAAGCAATAATTGTCTTATTTACTAGCCCAGTCTATCTAGGAACAAATTATAATGTTTCTGTTCATTATTTGCCTAGTATTGTTTGGCTTAATCATTTTTTAATACATGATAGTCCTCGGAATTTCTTGTTGCGCCCCCGGTTTATCCAGATCAATAACTAAACATACATCTGTACCAATTTATTCTCCTATGTAATGTTATTAAATAATTAAAAAACTACTAAAGAATAATTTAAGAATGTGTTGCCATATTTCTTTAGTGTTCAAAGTATTTTTAAAAAGTTTGTTTTGAATAATTTTTTGTCATATTTTAGATCGAAAAGAACCAACATGTAGTGTAGTTACTTGTTATAATTTCTTTGTAATTGTTTAGAATAAAAAAATAATGAATTTGAATTATTTTTCGTTCCTTAGGAGAAAAAGCTCAATAAAAATGAACGTCAAAGATTTAGGGAAGAAGCAGAAATGTTAAAAGGATTACAACATCCAAACATTGTGAGGTTTTATGATTATTGGGAAGTTACCCTTACTAAAAGAAAGTATATAGTATTAGTCACAGAACTGATGACTTCAGGAACCTTAAAAACGTAAGTTTTTACTTTTTATAAAATGTTAATTTCATGTTTCAATAACTTTTGAGAATGATTATTAATATGGACCGAATGTTCATGTAAAATAAAAAGCTAAATTTGTACATATATATGTTATTATATTTTCACAAATTTATAACAAAATATGTAAGAAAAGAAATCCTAGAAGTTGAGGGGAAAAAAAATTAAATTGCTTAAAAATTAGGTACTGTAGGATGGGGTAACTTTGGGACACTTTTCAAAGATTTTAACTGCTTTTATATTTATTTTCAAAGTTGAAATGATGAAAAAATTATTAATATGTAAAGTCACTCTTCCTCTTACAAAACATGGCAGAATAATAACTCTAGAAACGAGAATATTTTACAAAAAAAAATTTAAAGTTGTCCTAATATTAGCCCTTTGATTGGGGTAAAATTGGGACAGTGCACTATCTCTCTTAGAAACGACAGGTAATATGACTTTGCACCAATGTTTCACCACAATATTGTATAGGCTCATTATTTATGTAAGAAACAACAAGGAAAATGAATGTGTACCAATTTTACCCAACAATACCAATATTTAAGAGATATGAGAACAATAAATTCGTATTAATGGAACAAAAAGATCACAGATCATAATTTTTTAAACTATTAGGCCTATCTATCTATCTAGACAAGATTTCACAACACAACATAAATCAAAGGTGTTGACTGGAAATCCGTAGTTTGACATGGCAACAACATGTGCTACCGTCTGTTCCGCTTCTTCCATTGAAAACACTGTAGCCCAACCTACGAAGTTAGTATGTTTTCCTTAGGATTTCAGATGCAATGTATTTTTCGATATTCCCTACTTGGAGGCGGCATTTCTGATCGATAGTATCTTATTTCTTATTGCTAGGAAGGCTTCTTGTAAATTTTCTTCAGTGTAATTTTTGTATAGCCTTGTGCCAACAGCTCTTTTAGGATTTCTAGACATTGTTCTGAAGAAATGAACCAATGAAAATAAAACAGAACACAATATGCAGACCTTATGGTAACTTTGGGACTGTCCCAAAGTTACCCTGGCAACACGTGGAAATTTACAATTTACAGGTTATGAAACAAATTATTTATGATAACATGATTACTTCAATATTAACACTTAAGAACGTATTAATTAATGTGTGTATATACCCGAAGGTAATCTGATGTTCGCAGTTCTTGAGGCACAAGCAAAAGTTTTGTGAAAACAAGAATTTTGAAAATACAGTGAAAAGAAATAAAACCTAGCTATACAACAAGTGTAGTGAACTAGGGTTCTCAAACTGCCGCAAGGTACGGGCGCAGTATCTATCTATACATACATGTTTTTACAGGCTGAACCAATACAGTATATCCTCATTACCACAAACTAAATTTTACCCGCTGTCCCAAAGCTACTATCTTACAGTATTGGATTTTCATTTAAAACAGAGAACATATAAACATTGTGTGTGTGTTTGTGTGTGAAGAGCTCAAAGATGTTAAAAAAATTAAGAAAATGTATTTTCTTTATTTTTAAATATTGTCGAGCTCCTCACAGAATGTTCTTAAGATAATATATCTGAATTATCAAATTAATTTTAATGAGTATTGTTAAAAAAATTAAATCGAAAGGTTGGAAGAAAAACTTTAAATATCGTTTCTTTGAGTACAAAGCTATGCTATATAATTATTTTGGTCAACTTGTATTAATTCATCTTATAAAACGACATTTAAAGTTTAGAAAAAAGGTACCACCTTAAAAGAGCATAAAAAAACTGATGTGGATGAAGATGAAAATTTCCTGTTTGATGATCAATTTCTAGTATAAATAAATCATGAAAAACTTGCTGTTGCATTCCAAATAGAAACAGGCATATCAACATTGTAAAGACTACTAGCGAAATTATTAGAAAATATGCAAGAAAATAGAGAAACTTATTTAAAAGATTTCAGAGAGGTTTGTAATTGAAAAATTTACAAATGAAAATTGTAATGCAAACTAGTGGATGGATAATTTTGAAAAGGAATTCAATGTAAACAATGCAGTGATAAAAGCTGAGTTAAGTAAAACTGAAAAAAAAAAAAAAAACAACTAATAGCAACGCCAATAATAAATATCAAATTACTTTTGAATAGTAAAATTGAAATAAACGGAGTTTATGATACAGGTTAAAATGTTTCTCTGATTAATTCTAAGTTTCTGATTAATTAACTCTAAAAAAAAAAGAAAAGGAACAGTCTGAATGAACCAAACCTAGTAACGATTAATGGTGTTTAAAAAAGCAAGTGGTTTGACTACTTTGAAAATAAAAATCTTTAATTTAGAAAAAAGTGTTGATGTATTCTTTACAGATGAAGAAAATTTCAAATATGATTGTTTGATTGATTTGAACTTGATCAAAAAAATTCAAACTAATACGAGATGAAAATTCAAAAATAACTCAGAGAAAGAATCTGACTAATGAAACTATCAAAACTTTATAAATATGATATGAAAAATAAATCTGTGACTCAATACCCAGCCATTAATTCGAAAAAATTCAAAAGCTTTCAAAAGGTAAGCTGATACCACTGGTTTTCTCTGAAGTTAATGCACCATTTTTAAATGGCTTAAATGAAAGGCTGAATCAAACATTGATTAACAAAATCAAATGCAAAATTAACGGATTAGAAAATAATAGGGCCTGGACAACAATACTCAAGAATGTGTGAATAAATATAACAATACTAACCATTCAGTCACTGGCTTTACACCAAATTATCTTTTATATGGCACAGAGTGATCTGGGATCGGAGTACTAATACATGGAGAAGAAAGACCAATAAAGAACTGCTTATAGAAACTGGTCAATCAATATCCCATGATATGAAGGTATAGAAGTCAAGGGGCGGGGCTCAAATTTTGCTCGAAGCAATCTATCTGGATCCCTCTACGTAGCAATGAATACCTTAATAGAAGGCAAAAGACCACATGGAAGGCCAAAAAGCCGATGGATAGACAGAATTAACAAAGGTGCAATAGAGCTGCGTGCAGATAACTGGAAAGGAATAGCCCAAGACAGGCAGAGAAGGAGTAGGCTTGTTAAGGCAGCAAAAGATCTACAAGATCTGTAATGCCAATAGAAAAAAGAAAAAAAGAAGGTTCAGATGCATCCATTTTATGGGATGAGTTAAAACTGAAAAAAATAAGTAGTGGCTGAAAAATCGCACTCACAACTATTATCAAATCACATGATTACAATAAAACAATATTTGATAAAAATCGAAAATACTGTGAATTTTATGCAGATGTGGTGTTTTTAAAAAATGGGAACAAGCTAAATAGAAAGGCCAGAAACCAGAAGAACTAAAAATTGGATCATATGAGATTATTAAATTAATTTCAAACTCAATATACAAAATAAAAATAGGTCACATGCGAATAATTTCCACCAATATTATATTAATGAAGAGAAGAATAGTTGGGGTGGTCAGTCAAAAAGGAAGGCAAAAATAAATGATATTTATTTTTTATATTTTTTAGAATATAAATGCATATGCGAAAATATGCATAGAAATATGCATATGCATATTTTTAGAATACATATGCGGCATATGTAAAAAATAAATATCATTTATTTTTGCCTTCCTTTTTGACTGACCACCCCAACTATTCTTCTCTTCATTATCCACGACAGTCAACCAATTACCAATTACAATATTATATTATATTAGCAACGGTATATTAGTATATCAATCAGTGAACAAAAGGTAAAATAATATAGAAATAAGATAATGCAATATATTATGAGAAGAAGGAATTAATTTTCTTTTTCTTTATCGAATTACAATAGTCCTTCAGAACAATAAACCTTTTATTTTTCCTCTTAACTTTAGCCCCTGAAATTTCAGGGGATGTGACTTCTTCCCACTTGAAGGAGAAGATAATATTCAAAATTATAGATAAGTATATACACTAGGCCTCCAATTGTGTGAACTGTTCCCTGTAAGTATAATTAAGGTTACATTGGGGCAAATAAAATGGGCATATTAACATGCACTGTGCCTACTGATAGATAGGCAAGCCGAATATTCAAGAGGTAGACCTCTCGGTAGTAAATATATAGATAGTTGAGTTGGGTTTGGATGGTGGCCCTTGCATAGAAGTATGAAGATAGCAGAAAGAAATTGGTGGTTTCACTTTGCAAATTCAGATTTGTTAAGGCTTTTATTATTATTATGGTAAAGAAACTCATAATTTAGCCGTTAAAATGCATAAAATACAATTTTATGCTCCAATAATCAAAGTCATGAAGTTCAACAAAAAAGAACAAAAATTTAATATTTCTAGCAATATTATATTTTAATATATTATTTCACAAATTTTGGAACCTAGATAACAGCTTGTAAAGATTGCAAGCTAATAAATTGTGCAATAACTTGGAAATGTGGTCTTTAGTTATCAGGCTCTGAGAAACCGCAGCATCACTGGAAATGAAATAAGAAATCTAATTATACATGTCACAACTTTTTCAGTTTACTGAATTAGTGAAAGGAGACTTAATACAAATTATCTTAGAGTCTCAATTTGTGGACTTGTTATTCATGATATGGCATGATGGTTTACTTATGAATTGCATATTGGAGTTATTCACATTTCCACTTATTTTGCTTATTACTACATATTGGGCATCTAATGAGTAAATATTTTGGTGGCTAGTGCAATAACACTATTTGTCTTGTTAGTAATGTTTTATCATACTGTGATATTTTTTGAGAATTTTTTTTGTCGATTCACCTGATTTGTTGGAGTGCAGTATAATCATTAAAGTCTCTCTGTTATTCAATCTGTTCCAAAAGGCTCTGAAGGCCAACATCCAGATCTACTCACTACTTAAATATTCTACAGTACGGTTGTTTTATGGGTCTGTATTCATTAGATACTAGTCATCTAATGAATACAGTACCACATTAGTAAAGTTTTAAAAGTGCTCCACTCATTTGGGAGCACACAGCACACTCCCTCAACTTACGTGACCGCTACTGATTTTCTAGTATTTTATTACTTTTTTAATATAAAAGTTTGCACATTGTAATCTTTTATTTTCTTACAATTCTAGGTATTTAAGACGTTTCAAGAAGATAAATCCTAAAGTTCTGAAATCTTGGTGTCGACAAATACTCAAAGGATTATTATTTCTTCATTCAAGATCACCTCCTATTATCCACAGAGACCTAAAATGTGATAACATATTTATTACTGGTACATCAGGAAGTGTGAAAATTGGTGATTTAGGACTTGCTACTTTAAAGAATAGATCATTTGCAAAATCTGTTATTGGTTAGTTTTTCTTTTTATTTACTGTTTTTAAACTTATTTATTTAAGTTGTTTCTTTTTGTTTTGTTAATGTACATATTGGTTTTTAATGAATACAATACACTAGAACTATCATCATAAATAAGGATATTGGAATTATTCAACATTTTTCTCATTATATTAATGTACACTGACATGAAAAAATTCCACCCACTTGATTTTTTCATGTTTTCATCTAAAAATATTTCACCCACTTGTAAAAAAAGTTGTATTCGTATATATACATGGTATTTGTAGATTATACTTAGTATTTATGGAATTTTATAATCTTTTTTACCTTTATTAATCAAAATGTGATTGGGTAAGAAAGATTAGAGAAAAAAAAAATTGAAAAATGAACCATTATTATTCTAAAAGAAATTAATTATTTCATCGTTTAGTAGCGCTTGTTTCCTCCTCTTGCCTTCACTACTTCTTGAAGACGCCTCGGCATACTTTCCACAAGTCGGGAAATGTCCCTTTGCTGGAGAATAGCCCATTCCTCCCGAAGAGCCCTTTCAAGGTCCTGCAGTGTATCAGGAAGTGTTGCACGCGCTCTTATTCATCTTCCGAGGTTACCCCATAAATGCTCAATGGGGTTCAAATCTGGAGAACGTGCTGGCCAGGCTAAAACCTCAATATTGTTCTGTTGAAGGAACGTCTGCACTATGCAGGCGACATGTGGACATGCATTAGAATAGAATGATCGCCGATTTCGTTGAGGATAGGCAACACATGAGGTTCCAAAATCTCATTTACATAGCGAATGGCCGTCAAAGACCCTCCACGAACAACAACCAATTCTGTGCGGCGCTCCATTGAAATCTCAGCCCACACCATTAAGGAACCACGTTGGAAAGGTTGGCTCTGGGAAAAATTACAGGCTTCATATCTTTCGTTTCTTCTTCTCCACAACCTTTCACGCCCGTCTGGAGATCGAAGATCGAATCTTGATTCATCTGTAAAAAGTACAGCACTCCATTCGTCCATAGTCCAATGGCTGTGTTACTCTGTGAGTTCTGGTCAACTCTGGTCCTCTCACTGGACGAAAAGCCATTAATCCATACTCATTTAATCTTCCCCGAGCGGTACGTTCAGAAATTTGCACACCTCGAACTTCTTCGAGCTGATGAATCGCTTGAACAACAGTAAGGTGCCGGTTTCATAAAATCCTCAAAGTCAAAAACCGGTCATCCCGTGGTTCTGTTACCCTAGGCCGTCCAGAACCGGGCCTTCTATTGTAAGAACCAGTTTCCCGAAAATGCCTGACGGTGTCTCGTAAAGTTTCATATGGAACTCCGAAGGCATTAACTGCATATATAATGGAACGTCCATCATCAATAAGTGTCACACCACGCGCAACATCCTCAGCACTAAGAGGCATTTTTAAACTTAATATTGAAAAATTAAAAGCCGGAGACTAAGAAATGTGCTGCAAGAAACGGCACTGAACTAATGATACTGAATAAACATTTTGATTCCATAGAAAGTAAACATTGGAATCTAGAATCATTTAATTGAATTAAGGACTAAGGGTTATTGTCCTCTATATTAACATTCCTAATTGAAAACAAATAACAAGATTACCTATTTATTCATTAAAAACAATAGACCAATCCAAAGCAGAAATATTTTTAGATGAAAACATGAAAAAATCAAGTGGGTGGAATTTTTTGCCTATCAGTATATATATTCACCTGGTGAGTAAGTGATTAATTAAATTTATAAGAAATATGACTTCAGTCTACCAAATAGTAACTGTCATTTACATTGTGGTTAAGTGCATGAATAGCTAAGACAGTAACACCAATGGTTGAAAAAATAATAATATTGTTGCTTTAACAATTGAATTTGGAAGGCAATCAAGTTTTGAAACTGCTCCCTTTAAGAGTTTAAAAATTTTACTCATCTACCTATAACAAATCAGGGCTTCTGACTTGTAATTGTATTTTTTTTTATTATTTGATATTGTAGGTACACCCGAATTCATGGCACCTGAAATGTATGAAGAGCATTATGATGAGAATGTCGATGTCTATGCTTTTGGTATGTGCATGCTGGAAATGGCCACATCAGAATATCCCTATTCCGAATGTTCAGGTCCTGCCCAAATTTATAAAAAAGTTATTAGTGTAAGTTGACTAACATCTGGTTATTGTTATAATTATTTTATTGTGTTGAATATAAATTTGTAATATTGATGAAAAGTTCATTGTTTTATTTTTATTTAATTTTTACTTCTAGGGAATAAAACCTCAAAGCTTTGAAAAAGTAGAAAACCCAGAAGTGAGAGAAATTATTGAGCAATGCATAAGGCTAAAAAGAGAAGAAAGGTAATAATTACAAGCAGATAAATCATATAAATGAATCATAGTTCTATGATTTTAGTTTCTATTGGAATTTATTGTTGTATGAGTAAACGTAACATGCCTTGTAGTAAAGACTAGTTTTGATTTACTTATGTTTGTCAGGTAATGACGAATGATAATTTTTTATTATTACTTTCATTCATTCATTATTGGCACAATAGACGCTTGTTGCTGCCCTTGCCCAGTCATCTCTGTTGGCTGTGCACCTGATGGATATACTATTTTTCTCAAGTTTTCTTTTGCATTATCTATCCATCTTGCCTTTGGTCTTCCCTTAGACCTAACTCCCTCTGGCTTCCCATGGTAAAGCCTTCTCGCTGTCCTCACTTCATCCAATCTCAGAACATGTCTTAACCATTTCATTTGCTGCACTTAAGCGAATTGGGAGATAGACAGATTGAGTATACCTCCTCGTTTGATCTCAAGCTGGGAACTCCTTCCTTCAGTTTAGGTCCTATTATCCGTCTTAGTATTTTCCTTTCAAACCGATCTATTCGTTCAGCAGATGCCTTTGTTAGAATCCATGTCCCGCATGCATATATTGCAACTTGCCGAATAATCATTATGTATATCCTAAACTTTGTTGTACGACTTGACAATCTACTTTTCAGAAGCCTCGCTACAGAAAAGTATGCTCTGTTGGTAGCTACTATTTTAGCTCCTATCTCCTCCTCTTCATTATTGCTATTGTTAATTATGGACCCAAGGCAGGTGAGGCTTGATACATACAGCTTGAAAAATATGGTTTCCTAAGACATAGTGCTGTGGTGGATGGACAAGCTTTTTCTTCCTTAAAACGAGAACCTTGGTTTTACTTTCGTTGATGCATAGCTCCATTTTCCTTGCCTCATTCCCCAATCTACTGAATGCACTCTTCACTGCTTAAACTGATCGCCCTGCAATGACCAAATTGTCAGCATACGCGAGCAGTTGGGTCATTCTGTGGAATATTGTTCTTTATCATCAATCAACTGTTCTACAGTTCTTGATTTCTTCAGTTATTGATGAGCTTAGCTTTCCCATCCAAGTGTATAAGGAATTCTGGCAATATATCATCAGGTCCACCGCTTTTTCCCTTCTTTGTTTGTGCCAGAGCAAGTACAGGCTCTTCCTTTCTGAAGTCGTCTTCAAAGAGTAGGCTTTCAGAAAGGTTAAAACATTGGTGGTGCGGTATTAATTCTCTTATTTTCTTCTGCTGGTTTATAGTTAGAGTTCCTGACAAAGAATTTATGAAAGCTCCTTGGGAAGTCCAGAAAATATCTCCTTGCTATTAAACTTAAGATGGTTGTTCCTTGGATCTTTTCCACCATTTAACTTCGAGATGAATTTATGTGCTTTTTCCCATCTCGATGAAAGTCCAGACTAGCCAAATATTCTCTAAAAGCCTTTCGTTTGGCTTAAATTATATTCAACTTCACGGTTGTTGTAAGTTGTCTTAGGCTAACAATGTCTTCCATTTTTCTTGACCTTTCTGCATCCCTACTTTCTTTTAGTTTCTGTAGATTATCACTCCAGAATGTAGTGTATCTCTTCATAAATCTCCAAGGAATAGACCGCTTTGCACACTCGAGGATTGCTGCTTGAAGTCGCCCACAGCTTGTATCTACACTCTCCGTAATGGTTTCAGGAGTAATGGCTGTGTGAGTGAACTGGAGAACTTTTTCCAATTGGCCTTTTTTAAATTCTATCTGAGCTTTTGAGGTACTGAATTATTATTTGAATTTCAGTGGCCATTAAGGTATGCAAGCATTATTTTGTGACCAAATGCTCCAGGGGGAGGAGCAACTGTGTGGGAGATCAGCGGAGCTATTCACGGATGCACTAATAATAGATCAGGGTGGGTGCTGTTACCTTTATAATCCATAAAAGTAGGCTTTGAACTTTCGTTTTCCACAAATTCTATCATATTTGTGTCAATAAATTCTTCCATAATTTGTCCGGCTGAATTTGAGTTTGTGTAACCCCGTCATCTGGAGTGTGCATTGAAGTCTCCATACACAAGGGATCTGTCAGTCAATGAGTTTTCCAGCCAACCCAAATTCGGGTTATTATTAGGTGGGTTGTAGACTACAAATATTTGATGGTGGAGATTGTTTTACCATAGATTTATTTCCACCCCTTCCAATTTATCATTGTAATTGTATTCAGATTTTTATTAAGATATATTGGTAATAAAAAAAGAAGATGAATCGTAGGATTTGTATTCCTCTTGTTTCTTGATTATAAACATTACTTTGTCAATATCCATTTCTATTTTCTGTTTTTAGACCTGGTATAAAAGAACTGTTGAACCATGTATTTTTTGCTGATGATATTGGTTTGAAACTTGAACTTGTATCTAGAGAAGAGGTAATTGCAAGTGATTCATCTAAAATAGAGTTTAGGTTGAGAGTATTGGACCCCAAAAAAAGAAGTAATAAATACAAGGAAAATGAAGCGATTCAATTTGACTTTGATGTGGAATCTGATAATGCTGAGGAGGTTACTAAAGAAATGGTACGTTATTTTTTTGTAATAATAATAACGGTTTTGGTACTATGAAGATTTTATTATAGACTTTACTGTGATTTTGTTCTCATTAGCAAACATTTTTAAAATTTTTGTGTTTAAATAAACTAGAAAAGTATTATTTTTAAGTTTTTATATCAATGACACTGTGATTAAAAATAAAATGAAGCTCTGACATTGTACACATAATATATTGTGTATATTCATTTTTATTTTTATGAAAGTTATACATAAAATCAAGGTGAAAATTATAAACAAATTCAATGTTTGAAATTGTTTACATAATATATATGTTTCTTTTTTTCAAAGGCCAAAAGTGGAATAATAAATGATGAAGATTCACGTTCTGTGGAAAAGATGTTGATTGCTCAAATCATTTCATTAAAGAAAGCTAGGGAGGATCGTAAACTTCTTGTAGAACATAGTAAGTTTATCACTTCACAGTATATACATATTTTTTCTCCTTATTAAGATTATTCAATTTCTATTTAGATATAAATAGAAAATTGAGATATTGTAAAATCCATCAAAATATACTGACTACGTATAAGAGAATAAAAAGTTAAAAAAATGAGCAAATGTAAATATTGATACCTTTGCTCATTTTTTTTTACATTATTTTAACTTTTCATTCTCTTGTACATAGTCAGTATATTTTGATAGATTTTACAATATCTCAATTTTCTATTAATATCTATTATTTCCTTATATAACTTTATATTCCTTTTCTCTGTTTTACATTTTATTCTAAGATTACCATTTTCAGTTTTTATGTTACCTTATTTTGATTATGTTTATTTCATTAGTCCGCACTTTATATCCCTTATTATTATTTATTTCTTAGTTCTCTGTTGTTATTATTCTACCTACCTTATTTTACTTTAATGCTCACTCTATCTACTTCGTTTTACTTTAAGCTTTTCTTCCTACATTTTTTAGTCTATAACTTTCATCTTTTTAATGTTAATTATTTATTATTCAATGTTTATAGTTTCTCATACCTATTGTTATCTGGTTTTTTCTTAGCCCTGATGAAGGCCTGAACTTCTGGCCGATACGTCGACAAATGTAAAAATAAATATAATTTATTTTTGATATTTTTTATTGTGACTGATCACCCCAACCATTCTTCTCTTATTTTAAATATTTTCTTTTTGAAATAAGTTACTGTAATAAATAACAATCACTGTTGATTAAAATATTTAATTATGATGTTTCTACCAACTAAATAATATTAAAAATATGGTATTCAGACTTCCAAATTATAATATGTTTATTTAATGTCAATCTAAAGTACCATAATGGTTGTAAGTTTGTATTGGCAGTGTTCTTGATGTGTTATATACGCAATTTTTAAAATGTTTTCATTTATAGTTCTTATTTTACTGATCAGTATTTTGTTTTTTAAAATATCAAATTTATGCTGTTTTATTATACTACTATGTCAGGCAAACTAATATGATAGAACTAAAGTTTTTCTGTTTGTTAATAAAGATTATTGCCTTTCGAAACAGCGTCATAGTTTTTTATTTTATAATTTCAGAAGATTTCAGTGTATAGTGCTCTAAAATGCTTTTATGCATGTGTATGCACAAAAATTGGATCAAATTTGATGACATTAATATGAAACTATCTGGGTACCAATATATGTAACATGTGAGTGGACAGTTAAAGGAAGTTAGTCTACTGTTCTACATATGAAGTGAAAAATATTCAGGACGCTGTCATTATAAAGCTTTTATTGGTGGCGAAGGTTCAACCCAAACATGTGGGTCATCATCCGGTTGTGTTTTGAGAACTGATGATGATCCACATGTTTGCGTTGAATCTTCGGCACCAATAAAAACTTCATGACTGCGTCCTGAATATTTATCACCCACGATGTGAGTGGACTTTTTTGATTCTTAGGACAAGCAATTTTTTGACCTCCAGCATGAATACAAAGTTTTTCTTCCTTCAGAAGTCTAACGATTCTTTCAATGCTAAACAGATTAAAGAATTATAATAAATTAGGGGTACCCAGTGGAGTGAGAGTGAGTCCTTATTAGATGCCCGGTAAATGATTTACACCATTCAATTTGTTTTTGTTTTTGTGGCAAAATGTACTGTGGCTGTGATAGGCCTATTTTCAGTAATCTGTCAGGCCTAATTCCAATGCTTTTGCTATTCAGAACATTATTTCGGCCATATCATTGAATTGTAGGAGACTTGCCGGATTGATAAGTTCATAGAGTTCTTGGGGTCTGATACTCTTATCATTCCCAAATAATAGAAGCCTAAACCTGTCGCACCAACAGGTAATGTGATAATCACTTTTATCCTCTTGGTTACAGAACCTACAAAGAGGTGATTCTGTCAGCCCAATGTTGAACATATGATAATTCAGTTAACATTCTCCTGTATTATTTCACAGCACTACAACTCGGTTACAGGTCTTGGCCTCCTCTAACCGTTTCCTCCAATCGTCACAAGCCATCCAGTTCCTAACTCCCAGCATGTTGCGGAAGTCTCCTGACACACCATCCAACCATCTCAGCCTTGGTCTCACTCTTCTTCTTGTTCCATAGATTGACTGTGCAAGCAAGATTTTGGGAATTTCTACATCCGCCATTCTGGCAATTTGATATGTTAATCGCCTCAAATTCATTGCTTTTACAACGTCAGCTTCTTCGAAAGCATTGTATAGCTCCTGGTTCATGCGCCTCTTCCACTCCTCTCCAACTTTTACTCTCCCAAAAACACGGCTATGATTCTTCTTCTTATCTCAGGATCGGGGTTATTATCCTGAGTGACTACAGATCCTAGGTAAGTGAACTCCGAAACCTCAAATTTATGAGGCCCAATAGTGACTGTCTCGTGAATTTCTTCTGTTACCATATATTTTGTTTTTGACTCATTAACTTTCAGTCTAAGTTGGCATGACCCATCAGTGCATCTCACGGCTTTCTCAATCAAGTGCTAAGTTAAACAACATACAGACCCCCGCATCCCCTTGTCGAAGTCCTTTATCTGCGCGAATTCTTCTGATCTGTCACCATTCACTCTAACCATACATCTCACATCCTTCATGATAAGCTTTATCTAACATATAAGTTTCTCAGGTATGTTAAATTCTCTGAGAGGACTATACAGTTCTATACGATGAACAGATGGTGAGCTTTGGTTTTATACTCATGGCCTCTTTCAAGAATGGTTCGCACACAGAACATCTGGTTGGAGGTGGATCTACCTTTCCTAAATTCACTCTGGTACAGACCGAGCTCATGTTCAGCATATGGCAAACGACGTCCAAACAAAATATGAGATTATATCTTATAGGCACAAGACAGTAACAAGATACCTTGATAATTGCTGCACAGCAACATATCACCCTTTTTATGTATAGGACAAATGGTGGTAGACTTATTCCAGTCCAAGGGCATCATCGCATCAGTCCATATCACAAAGAGGAGATCCTGTATAGCTTTGGTAAGCTCGCTTACACCGCATTTTAAAAGTTCAGCAGGTTGTGCTCCAGCACCAGAATTCTTATTATTTTTGAGTTTGCTGTTAATTAATTAAATCCGAAATAGGATACATTTTAATCCATACTTACTAACATGCGAACTGCATTGCAGACTTCTGAACATTTCTGTTTTTTCAGTTATATTCACTTCTGAATCGAAATTCATCTTTAGCGAGGATATAAAAATTAGTCTTATCCAGTGTTCGTATCAAGAGGAGTGATATCTCTGATATTTCTACATTATTTTAGTCACAAGTACAGCTGGTGACTCACTAGAGCCCAGAGTCTGACAATGGAGGATAGAGTAGGGTAGGATAGAGGTTTTAAGGAGATAAATTGTAGGACTATTACGTCTGTCTGACAGTGGATCAGGGATCCTGAATACTTGCTTTAGTCGATTGACCACCTTACTCCATTCAGAACACGATGTTGATTCATTTGGAATCAGACTAAAGCTGAACCGGTACTGCTTGAAATAATCTTCCTGACTAATACCTCGAGTTATTATTCGCGGTTCCACTTCTAAGCATGAATATAGCAAAGGGACCGATGAATCACCTGAGAACTGTAAACCTCATTTATATGCTTTATATCCCTAACGACGTGTTCTTTAAATGGGAGATCTTCAATTCGTGTTGTAGTGGCAGTATCTATTGTGGTAAGAGATGGTAGTGTAATCACCAGTTTCTTTAACCAAAGTTCGGCTATTAAAAATGTAACCCAATTACTCTAGAACTCTTGTAATTCTTGTAACTCTTGTAATTAATCATACTAAGTGATAATGAATATGTCCTAATCGTGTGTCTAGATGCCTAAACTCCATAACATCACTAACCGAATACTCTAAACGTTCAGCCAATGCGGCAAATTTCCGTATGCAAATATCTTATTACATAAAATTATCTTCCTGCATACAAATTATAAAATAATTTTCTTAACATTTAATGAAGCTATTATTTCAGCAAGTGGTTGAACATTCTCAGTAAATGTTTTTAATAGTTTCTTCCTCAAATCAATAATGTCGTCCTCCCGTATAGCCTTTTTTAAGGCTATACGGGATTTTCCCGGGCCGGGGGGTGAGGGCGGGGAATTTAAAATCCCCTCCGGCACCGGGACGCGAACTCGTACTTTTTAAATCTTCTCAAATCTGTAATCCGGTTGCCAGGCAACTCGCGGTGCTGTGCACACGCTTTAGCCCATTCGGCCACCCCGTCCCCTTTAATGTCGCCTATATTGAGTAACCCCTGAATTTGAAGTTGATAAGCCAATTCATCTTTTAGTAGCACTGTAGTATCCATTTTGAGCAATAAGATCTCCCTTTAGTACTGCTAAGCCCCAAATTTAACGATTCTTTCAACGCTAAACAAATTTAGACATTTGCGTCTGGTACATTGTTACCCTTCTGGTCGATGTTTACACCGCCATTCACAAAATGCTGACATCTCTTTATCTCTGTTTGGTAAAAAATAGAATTCAATGTATGTAGAATTAATTAATAGAGCAAGAATCAATTATTTTCTGTAATATACAAATGACCATTTTTCGTCATTGCTAGCATTCTTCTCTGGAAGTCTCTTTTATTCCTACTTTAAAAATAAAAAAGGCACAGACTAAGGTAGGAAAAACCAAAGATTTCGGTTATGCATGAAATATGAAATTCTGATTTGCTCAACAATTTCGTTAAGATATAGGTATACCTCATATTCTCTTTCCTCTGTCTCATTTAAACTTCAATAGTTCAATTTAATTCAGCATAGTATATATACATATTTTTTTGTCATCTGTTATTTTATCATTCAGAAATATATTTTTTTTTTTAGCATTTGAGGATGAGTTACATATTGGAACACAAGTTGAAGCTCCATCTCAGGTAAATATTCATTTATTTTCTTATTAGCAATTTAAATAAACCACATTTTTTTAACACTGTTAATAAAATTCTACAAACCCACTAAAATCTGAATTTATTTTTTTCTTCTATTTTCTGTTACCTTTTGAAACTTCAGTAAGCTTGTTTATTTCTTAAAATTTTTGGTTTAACAATTCTAGAATTTGCTTTTTCGAGTTATATAGTCCAAAAAAATAAAAATTGTTTTCTATTTACATGGTATCTATAGACAGAGAAAATTCAGAGAATTTCTGAGATATTTTAATGTTGGAAAAAAAAGTAAAAGATAATGCTATATAAAACAAAAATAATAATTTCAAAAACAAAAATAATAAGTTCAAAAACAAAAATAATGTGTTCAAAAACAAATATAAAAAGTTCAAAAATAAAAATAAGATATAAAGGAAGGAGATGGTCCGGGGTTGATAAAAATAAAATAGTTTTACCACTATTTAGCCTTTTTATGACCGCAACCCCGAACCATCTCCTTCCTTTATAGTGCAACGGTCAACTATTAAATATTCAAAAATAAGATATAAAACACAGATTCCTAAATATCTTTTTTTATGATCCACCCTCACAACTTGGTGGGTTGATGGATGCATCTTTGAACCGCTGAAAAATTTTCAATTGTGTTTTGGGCAATAGTTTACGTATAGTCTGTCTCCCTCATGACTCAGGATGTTGATGATCAATTTTTTAAAATTTTATCTTTAAAAATGTGAAAGTATTAATTTACTGTAAAGTATTGTTCTTAATTGGTGCAAATATAAGTTAAACCCTCTATAAACAAATAGTATAATTAATAACAATAAGTAAACTGTAGTTGTGCTGTTTGAAGATTGTTCCATATTGGTTAGTGCCAGTAAGCTTCTTTATCTTTTCTGTTGAGTTGAAAAGTAAAAAGAAAATTTACTCTTTCAATTCTTTATTTAGGCTTGTAGCAGAAAATTTACTCTCCATTAAACAACTGTAAAGTCACTATCATTAATCAGAAAGGAATCAATTCACAAAATCTGTAAAAATAAGTTAAAAGGTGACTTAGAATGTGATTAAATGCTTAATATTTTTAACAGACAAGATTCATCTATCCCGGAATCTACTGTACTGTATAAAATGTTAGTTGAAAAAAAATTCTGGAAATAGTTTGCAACATTTTTTATATATAAAAAAAAAAATAATGAAACCTCAATAAAGCTGGATTACGAGCAATCTATTTTACAATATTTTGGGACTAGTAGGCACGTGCGAAAAATTCGCGCAGGATATTGTTTTCAAATGCCAAATTAATAAGAAAAGGAAATAATGCAACGTATCAAAAGATAAAGAAATCAATTGTTGCTTTAATAATTTTAATTTTTATAAATATAATCGACAAAGGAAACAAAAATTAATTTAAATCTTCATTAATGTTTGGAACCAACATGTTTACAAATTTCAGTAAGCTGTATCTTTACTAAAATTTGATTCGCTAACCCCCCGTGAAATTCTGAATCCAACAGTACCCCATTCATGGTATTTAAGCATGATAGGAGCTTATATATGGTACAAAACCGATTTCGAGCTTTACTGTAATAATATATGTGGGGACATAATAGCTACATTTTGGATTGGATAAAATACAGAATAAAATTATTTTACCTGGGAAAAGTAAAGTAATTTTATTCTGGAGCTAAAGCTTAAAGCTTACAGATAACAAATCATTAAGACCATTAAAATAACAAAAACTCTTTATTACATCAACGGTAGGCAATAGAAATCTCATTTGTTTTTATAACCCCCATAACTTCAGTCTCTAAGCTATATGTGTGCCTTTCAGTTGACAGAATGACTAACTCCAATTTCAACATTTTTGAGTAATGTCATTTTAGTGATATTTCTTGTTGGAAAAGTTATATCTATATACAGACAGTGAGTAAGTTGATTCCAGGGTAGATGATTGCAGTGTTGAAATATAGAACTGTGAATAAAGGTATAAATTTTCTCCCTAGAAACATCACTAAAATTAATAATAAAAAGTATTAAATTTTCATTGCCTGCCATGGACAGGTCAAAAGTTGTCACACTAATTGTAAGTGGATATTGTTGGGATTTCACAAAGGGAAAATTCATCACATTATTTACTGATTTAATTTTCTAAAAGGTTACTTTTTCGAAATAAACGGCCTATAGATATCTAATTATTTAAATATAATGTAAGATCTAGAGTTAGTAAACTACAGTAAATGTATTTAAGGTTATAAACATATCCATGAAATATTTTTATATTTCACTTCTTCTTTCACACAAGTACTATGAAACAGTATTTTAAACAATGTCATTGCCTTGATTCGGTGGATTTTAAATACTTATTTTCAAACTTAAAAAAAAAAAAATTAAAAGTTAATATTTAGTAAGAAAATTTTAATTAATTTCCTTGGAAACATGTGATTTACGTTAACTAATGTTAGATTTCAGAAAGTATTATTTATATTTTTTCCTCACTCTCCGTTACCTTCTTTAACTTTATTTATTTGCTATTATTTTTTCTAAGATGCTCTGCTTTCCAATTATATATCTATTATTTCCAGATATTCATTTTCGACCTGGATAAGCATTTTTCTTTTTTTCTCCATTATTCAATTATTAAATTCCTTAAAAAGTTATATTTAGCCTTTTTTTGTTACTCCTAACAATGAGAGATAGTTAATTATTTGAAATAAACCAAATTAAAGTTACTTCAGAGTAAGAAATGTAAATATTGGACATTTAAACCTTGTAAAGTGACATCAATGGGAATAAAACCTAAATGATATTAAAGACCACTTAATTATACAATGATACACCGAGTTCAATCAAAATCGTTAAAGCCGTTTTTGAGAAAATTGTAAAAACGTGTATCACCGTTGTTATAAAGTGGCACTTCCGGTTAGCCTATTTTAAAGAAATGGTTCTTGTAACATCTCAATCATATACCTGCCTTTACATAATATCAGTTTCGTATGACTTTTCATTTTTGAGCTAGACTATTCACATACAGACACTCAGGTACACAGATCATTTTGCGGGACTTTGTTATTTAGACTCAGGAGACCTCAAAACGTGTATTTCCATTGAAAATTCAGATTAAAGAATTTTGACTATCGCAATACTTAATATATTTTATGTATATAAATATTTTTTATATATATAAATTTTTCTATATTTAAATTTTTCATATTATATTAAATTGTTTTATATTTTTATAAATATATTTTAAAAATGAACCATGTAGAAATTATTTACTTATCATTAATGGCAGTGACCGGATTAATGTTGCCATCTGGTCGGACCAAATTGTAGTTATTGCTTAATAAAAAAACTTCCTTATCTGTCTCATTGGTGAAAGATCAATTAATTATTGTGGTTACTGATTATTTGTGAATGTGATTGGTAAACAAATTTTTTTTTTAATATTCTACTTTTAAAAAATGAGTCCAGTGTTTTTGAAAAAAATAATAGTTATTTGGTTGAAGCTCAATATTTACATCACATTCTTTATCATGTTCATCAGTTCACTTTACAAAATATATTATCTCAAAACTTAAGTTCGACTCTTTTTCATTTAAAGCACACCGGTGACGCTGCTATCTTTTTCCCTTTTTGCCTCTCTAATGCGACGTCATATAGGAGTTAAGATAAGATAGTATTTTGAACAATAGATCATTACAAGGAGGATGAAATGCTGAACATTTCCCTCTCTTACAGTATGCACGTCCGAGTTTTAGTTTCTGAAATATTTTAATCCAAATGTAAAAATAATAAAAGAGCCTTTAGTTCTAACACAACTATTAAATTCCCCTTGTACCAAACTGACTACAATTTTTCATAAATGCTACTAGATAAATTAAAAAATGTATATATCTATATTCAAATGAGATCAAATTTTGGTACTAATTCACCAGTGTCATGTGTAAATGAGACACATGAGTCAAGATCACATTGATCACACTTGGATGGCTAAAATATCTGAGTGTTTCCAAAAGAGTAAGCAGGAAACTAATAACAACCAAATATTTGTTTCTTTTGGTATATTGATACAAAGCCAAAAAGTTTCCCTCAGCAAGGGATCAAAAACTTTGGGCATTAGAGTTATATTGATGATAAATGAAGTTACACTGTCAATCAATATGACTTCAACCATCTTTAATATAACTCGAATATTTATACATTCATATATACATGTATGTAGGATATTTTAGGATTAAGTGGCTAAACTGAAAATATGGACTAAGGACCTTAAAACAAGAAAAAAAGTTTCTCTGAAGGTATGTCCGCAAACGCTTTGTTTAGGTGATATTCACGCCTAAAGATTTTCATTATTTATTATTGATGTTATATTAAGTAAATAAAACTCATTTATTTGTTCCAATTACTTTCTTAATTAAACGTTAACATTAAATTCATATTAAATGTTGTTCAAAATGATTTCCTTGAGCATTAATTGTTTCACAAGATTCAATTATCCTTCTTCATAAGGAATTAAGGTCAAAGACCGGACTTGCATAGACTTAATGTCACCCCAAACAAACCGTATACAAAACTATATCGGCATATTCACCATTAGTATAAATGGGAGGCATAATGATGAGTACTCTGCAAAAGCCTCTTACAAACTGATAAATGTTATTGAGAGTTCCCAATGCTAATTCCAAGCAGTATTAATCCATATGTTGGTAACAGTTTTATATAGTTAAGGATAAAAGGCCATATTAGTATTCCATCTTATTCATCTTCTAAATAAAGCGTTTGCAGACATACCTGCACATTGAACAACATTTAATATGAATGTTAATGTTTACATTTAATTAATAAAGTAGTTCGAACAAATGAATAGATTTTATTTATTTCATACAACGTAAATAATTCATAACAACAAAAATATTTAACTGTGAATATCTCCTAAACAAAGCATTTGTGGACATATCTTCAGAGGAAATTTTTTTCTTGTTTTGAGGTCCTTAGTTCATTTTTGCAGTTTGGCCACTTAACCCTGAAACACCCTGTATAATGAAAAGTGGAATGTAGGAAAATAATAGATGTACTGTGTGTCCTTGAGATTTTTTTGCTTGGTTGCAATTTTTGTTACCTTACAATTGAATAAATGTAGATCATTATGGTGTTTTATTTCATGGTTCAGAGCTCCAAGATATATTTACTGATATATAAATATATTTTAAAAAATGAACTAATTTTATAAATATTAATGACATAATTAACTATATACTAAGACACTTCTTTTGTATAGAAGGTAACTTTCCAAACTGAAGGTTTTGGTTTTTAAGTTTATAAGGTTATACCTAATAGATAGAAAATATGAATTTTAACATCTGATTTAAAGCACTATTATTTTATTATTACAATTTATTTATTAAATATCAAGATTATTGGAAATTTTGAAAAAATTTATCCCTTTTGAGTTTAATAATATCTGAACTATTTTTGTCTATTATAAAAACATAAATTTATACAGTTGTGCGCATATTAGCTTTTATAGTTCCAAAAACACGCTACCATGGCAATCAAACTAACAATGATTTCCTAAGTATAATTTAGTTATGTTTGGCATAAATAAACTTGGTATTTAAGTAAATAGTATCTAGACTTTTTAAAAGCTTACTGATATGTGGATAAATCAAAACAGTATTTGACATTTTGATGCCTCATTAATTTAAATTGCATGTAGTCTAATAAGTTACATTTAAAATTAAATTATAAATAGCCATTATTAAAACAAAAAACTTTTATTTTTATTTTATGTGACTTTAAGAGTTTACACAACTAACAATATTTTTGTTAATGCTCAATGAAAAATTGAAGTATTAAACATTGTTTATTCATGAATTTATGGTAATTATGGTTTTCCTGAATTGAAATATATTAATGTAAGTTTGTATATATGTATGTCTATTTCTTTATTTCAGATAAATCCAGGTTTCGGAGATACCACAAATAGTCAACAGCCAGTATATGGTCAGTTAGGAACTGAGTATGTTCCTACTTACAGCTCAGATATGTATGGACAGACTGATAAGTATGTACAGGATTCAATGATAGTTTCATCTATGCAGTGCCAGCCTGTACAGCATCCTGATGTAAGTCAAGGCTATCAAGAACCATCTCAGGATATACACTTTGCTTTATCCCAAGCACAACCTTCTCAGATGCATTTTCCTGTATATGACACTATGGCTACTGATAATATGCAACATAGGATATCTACAAATGTTCCTCCACAAGTTAGTGAAAATATGCAACATATGCTTTCTCAGGTACATCCTCATGGAGGACAGATTCAAGACAATCTTCAAAATATTTCGTCAAACATTCCACAACATACCATTCAGTCAGACAATTTGCTACAACAGCCACAGATTCAGCAGTCAGAAATGCAACATCGTATATCTCACATACAACCACCTCAGATTCAAGTTGATATAAATAGAATTTCATCTAATGCACCTCCATACGAATCAACTTCGGATAACCAAGGGCGAATTCAGTTACAGCCATATGATCATTCCATTAGTGGTGAGCAGTCGCATCAGGTTACATCCTCTCAAAGTGCACAATACCAAACATCAAATTATGATCCTTCGCACATTCAAACACACCAGCTTCATCCCACACAGCAAATTAATTCTCAACCAACCCAAACTCAAAATGTTGATCAATTCTCTCAGTCAGATTTACAGCCAGGTATGGCACAAAATCAGACTCATGCTCAGCAAAATCAGCATTATGATTCGCAAATGCAGGGTGATTCTCAAAGATTATCTCAAATCCATTCGCCTTATGTGCAGCAATATGAAAACCAGAATACTGATATTCAACATAGAGTGTCTCAAGTGCAAGCTCCCTTGGTACAACTCAGTAATTATGACTTGAATCAACAATCACCAGAAATTCAATGTGTTTCACCACAGATTCAGCCCTCTCAAATTCAATCTTCACAACAGAGTGAATTTGGACATAGAATTTCTCAAGTAGTTGCTCCACATATACAACAGTATGACTCTCAAGGTAAAACAGAGGGGCAACAACAACCTTTACAAGTTCTTCCTACTAATGTTACCCAGCAACAACAATTTGAACTACACCAGTCACCAACAGATATTCAACATCATAGAATTTCTCAGGGGATACAACCAACTATGCAACAGCCTCCTCAATATGATTCTCAGGCAGAGTTCAGTAGAGTTCCTCAAATCAGTCATAATCAGATTTACGAGTCTTTGCCCCAAAATGAGATACCGCCTGTTTCTCAAATACCTTCCTCCCAAATTTCTGCAACAGTTTACGAATCATCTCAACAAACAGACGTTCAGCATAGAGTTTCTCAAGTAAATCCTCCTCAATTTTCCACATTGCATTGTGATTCCTATCAACATTTAGATCAAAGGAATCCTCAGATGTTAATCTCACAAAATCAACAACATGAGTCATATCGTGTCTCTCAGGTTATTCCACCAATACAGCATTATGATTCAGGTAACCAGAGGCTTTCACAAGGTTTACCTCCAACTTTGCCTCAACAGTATGAAATAGCTCAACAACCTGATTTGCAAGCAAGAGTTTCAAAACATTCTGTTTCCCCCGTTGTTCAACATTATGAAATGCAGGTTACTGGAGATAATCCAATTTCATCAAACACTATCACCCTTTCTAATACTCAAATGTCCCAGCCACACTCTGAATCTCAGCCACAGTTTACTACTTATCAACAAGATGAAGTAAGAACTTCACAGTATGACTCACAAGTTCAACATCAAGCTATGCAACATTCTCAGTATGAAGCACAAATTCATCAGGAAACTAACCAAAGAGGGCAACAACCTCAAACATTTGAAACACATATATCTAATGATATAAACCAGGCTGTTCAAATTCCTAACAACCAGCCATTTGAACAAGCTCACCCACAACAATATGATTCAGTTAAACAGGTAGAGGCTTTAGGGCCTAGGATTACCAACTTACAAAGTCAAAATCAGATTTATGAGATGAAGAATCAGGCTGATGTTACTCATAGGATATCCCAGGTTATCCCTCCATCTTTGCCGGGATATGATCAGCTCCATTCGGATATTTCTAATTTTCCACAAAACCAGAACCAATCAGCTCGGTATGAACACCAACAGCCTGACCTTTCTCAAATTCTTTCTCCAAATCCTCCTCAGTCTCATTTTGATGGTAATCAACCCATAAATAGTCATAGAATATCACAAGATCAGTCTCCTTGTTTGATTCCTCATCAAGAATCTCAAAATCAAATTGAAAGTCAGAGGATTTCTCAAGTGCAACCTACTCATCCTCTCAACCCGACACCATATGATCCACAGATGCACAGTGATAGAGTTTCACAGGTTCAGGTTCCTAATATCCATCAAACAGCCCAGCCCGTTCAGTCTGAAAACTCTCCAAGCCAGCCAGTTCCTTCTCTACAACAGTTACAGTTTAACCAACCTCAGTTAAATGATGGTTTGGTTCATTCTAACATGTCATATGATCAAACTCAAATTCAAAATGAGACTTTGATGGCTGCCTCTCAAAAACCTCAATTTATATCTCAACCAAGCTGTGACCAAATGGTATTGTCGACTCAACTTTCTCAAGTTCAGCATGAGTTAGATCAAAGTAGGAAGTATGAAATACCGCAACATGTCCCTCTTGTTCAAATAATTCAACAGCCATGCCATCCATCACAACAACCAGACCATCGGGTGTCTACAATTGAAACTCCGATTATTCACCAAACTCACCAAGGTGATTTAACTCTTGCAATGCCTGTCTTACCTTCCCAAGTGAATCAAATAGGTTCAGATTTATCAAATCAGAACCATACCCCTCAAAATGTGCTGGGTACTGAAAACCAACAATTACCCTCAACACTAAATCAGTATGATCACACATCTAACATTCATTTATCTCAAAGTGAAACTGTTCCAAAAAATGATATCCCTCAAAGAAGTCAAAGTTTTACTTCAACTGAACCTCCTTCACAAATACAGCTGGACAGCCTTCACAGAATGTCAGTAGTTAACCCTCCACAGTTAAATCAGAATTACCAAAGAAACATTGAGAATATACAGACATTTAATATGATTCCACAGGCCCAATTTGTTTATGATAATACTCAAGCTGAAAACTTACCGCATATGGCTAATCAAGATCAATCAAAATATAGCATAGGGCCTTCTATTCAATCTCAAGTTCAATTACCATGTTATCAAACACAACAAAATGTTTGTAATAAGTGCATGCAATTTTCCTGTAATCATGAGTGTGGACAGACAAAGATTTCTCCAGATGAACTTAATAATGAGTTACATTCAAACACACTTGTTATACAAAAAAGTGAAATAACATTAACCGATGGTGTTGAACAGATACCTCAGTTTCTTTCTCAGCAACAGAGTGGAGTAGCATCGTATGAACAGAAATGCAATCTAGTTGGTATGAATAATATGCCACAGTTGCCCAGTAACCAGGTCTCTGCTTTGCCTTATAATGATCAAAATGTGATAGGTATCCAAAGTAATCAAGATATGACTCTATCACATCCAAATATTCCAAGTTTACAAATACCGCAATTAACATCACACCACATGAATGAGTTATCTAGAAATCCACCACAGGATAATTATACGGAGTCTACTTTTTCATCTAATCAGTTTCATTTGAATGAAGCCTCAACTCCATTAAATACTGATGCTGGAATAGCTCAGAAAGTTGGTCAGTTCTTAGGAAGGCAGGTTTCTGTTGAGCATGAATTGGCACTTCCTCAGGTTCCAATATCTCATAGCGAATCATCAAATGAGATGCTGAGTCCTCCAACTCAATTGCAGCTGTCCCACAGTTCTCCAGCTCTTGGATCAGAACCTCAGATTTCCCAGGTATTTAAATATGATTATGGAGTGAGTGTGAGAAAGGTTGAATATGAGTGTATATTGTTTGTGTTTATTTGTACATACACTTTTTTTTTGTTGCAATTTTTCTTGTATATTTACATGATTTAATAAAAATTGTATTCTTGGTGTTACTTACATTTTGAATAATTTTTAGTTGGAATGATAATGATGGTAATGATTCAAATACATTCTGATATAAAAAAAAGTACTGAGAATTTAGGACAACTGATGATTTGAAATTAAAATACGTTATCTAAATTAACAGATGAATCATTCAATTAAGGGAAAAAATTCAAATATAATTAATAATAATAAAAATAAATAAAAAGTATTTATTATAATACCTATTAATAATTGTTTCTTTTTAAGTGGTTCTGGGTATATTTACTGTATTAAAACAAGTCATCTCTTGAAACATTTAGGTTATGTTAGGGTTAAATTTAATTGTATGTTCTAATTCTATTTCTAATCATGTAATAATATAAGGTCTTGTTTCTAGAATTATCAGTTTTATTAGTGGACTTCAGCATTTTTAAACTTGGTTTGGTTTGAACATTAGATTAAACATTTATTTCATGGATGGATGTATATTTCTTATAATACATGGTTTTAACTTTTCTAGATAAGTGGCGAAATGGATTCCGTAATAACTGAATTGCATCCTCCAAGCAGTCATTCTCAAATTTTGGTAATTCAAAAATAATATTATTCACTGTTTCATTTCTAGATTTAAAAAATTCCTTGTTTTTATCAAATCACGGTTTTCAAAAAAAAAAAAAAATTATTAACTTTCCCTCTTGACATTTTGGCTGTACAATACCAATCTGAGAGGGTATTAAAAATAATGATCGCAAGCGAAGGTTTGAATGTAAATTAAAAAAGTGTACGTTATTCTGAGTAAAATGAGCCTAGTCTGCCATTTCAGACCCACTACTTTAAAAAATGGCAGCTGATTTAATGAGTGATAGGCCAGAGACCGAAATGAGATATATATTGGGAAAAGTGTGGGGAAAGTTGTCATTTTTTTAACTTGTGTATATTGGTTCAAACATGTAAAAGCCATAATTGCTAGTGTGAACAACCAAGGAAAAACGTTTTAAAGTAAAAAAAGCCAAATTTTTTTCAAGATATCCAATGGTATTTGCTAGCTGCTGGTAGCCACTGAGATAGCAGTGTTTTTGCTCTCTTCACTTAGCACTGTTCCTAACACTTTTTAAAAATACTTATTGTCTTTTCAAATATGTGTCAGAAAAATATGGGACGTAATAGCATTTTTATTTGTATAACCTGATCTTCACCGACAAATACAAATTGAAAATTAATGCAAGTACTCGATTGTATCTTGTTACATTTTCAGTAATCGTGGTCTGTTATCTTTCTGGCTCATGCTCCAGACTTTTCAAGTTCCAATCTTAAAGTAATAAACTTATAAAATATTAGTTTTAGATCCTTATTGTCTGGATTTTTTCTTCTGTTTTTTTGTAAATACTTTTTTGACTTGTTGTTTTAATATTTTATCTTAAGAATATTTTTTGAAATTGGTTATATTCATCTTCTATTAGACAAATAAACCTTATGTATTTTAAAAAGTTTTTAATCATTGTATGTTATTAAATTTTTTTTTTTAATTATTAGCTAGTATGTCATGTCATAATATGTCATGGATAGCTGTTGAATAATATTTAATTTGTGACGCTAAAACCATTTAAAACAAAATTGTTATGATTAATATTCCCAGACTCAAAGAGGGCAACGAAGCATCAGTACAGTAATACCACCCATGGCTCAGTCAGCTGACTCTGACTCAGCCAATAGAAGGCATTCTGCTGAAGCTGTGCCTTCATCTAATGAAATTTCATCAGCTGATGGAAATATTGGTGATCTTCAGGTAAGTAATTATATTAACATTCAAAATTAGTTATTTTATGTATCAGCTTTTGGCTTAATATCTAGAGCTTTGTAACAATATTTATAAGATAATTAATTCTATTAGAAGTGCAATAAATTTATTAAATCAAGATAAAGCATTATGCCCTTTTACAGTAAATATTATTTTGTTTTTATTATTTCTATTTTGCATTTAAATTATCATATTTTCTCTATGTTTCCAACAATTGATAATTAGATACTTATTGGAATGAAATGTATCTTTTTTTTGTTGATTATTTGTTAGCCTCCAAAATGAAATCATCTGTCTGTCATTAGAAAACTAATTGGGGATTGCTGACTGAAGGCAATGATTTTGGTAGTAAAGATCAATTGCTAGACTAAATATTTGATGAAATGTCATAAACTGAATTTCTCACGTGGAATATTTTCTAGAGATGCTTTTACGTATGTTATTAGGCTAAATATAGATAGGCTTTGTTTCAATGATGTGGATTACCAAAAGGCTGTAAATTTCATTTAGGGATTCTCCCTTGGCCCTGGTATGATTAAAATTGCAAGTGTAGTCATCAGGAGTATAACATGAAATTATTGTCATATATTGTGTGATGGTCAACATATTAATTTTGGTAAAATGATATTCAGAAATCGCGTCTTTTACTTCAGTAATTAATCTTCATTGTCCAATGATTGAGAACGTTATAGTCAGTATTAGCATTGGATGAAGTATCATTTTTCTTATTAACCTTGTTGTTAAGCAACAGTATTTGTTTGTAGGCTATTTGGTCTAATAATGCAAATGAATTAATTGAAAAGATGTGTGTAGCCAGGAATATTGCAATCAGCCAAAATGTTGCCAACATTTTTATCACTGATATTTACACTGGAAATAGCAAAATCTTATTAGTATTGCTATTAATAATGTTTCTTACTAAAATATCAATAACATTTATGTTATAAATATTTTAATATTTACTATTTACTCTGGGCAACTGCGAAATGTTATTAAAATTGCTTTAGCCATGCTTTTTACTAGAGTACGAGATTAGAATTTATTATGTATATTGGATATAAAATTAAATTGTATTAGGCATGTTTAATTAAATCAATTTCAGTTCTTTTAATTGTGTATCATTTAAATTACTGTTTTTTATTATATTATATATATTTTCTTATATTATTAGCTACAGTTTCCAAATTAATGTACTGTATATAATACATATGTATTAAATAAAAATACTGAAACAATTGTTTCATTCATTAAGGCTCTGAAGTACTCGCTAGGATTATTTAGAGTTTTTATTTATTAGTGGATATTCTTTTTTTACACTTGTTAAGACAATCTTCATCAAACCGGAGTTGTTTTGTTTTTATTTTCTATTTTCTCAAGATACAAGTTACAGATCTCTTTATTATTATCCTTGATTCCTGTCCATAACTTATCTTCAAAAGGTTCTGAAGCTTCTAACCTATTCTTACCCCTTTAACTGCTAACGACGGCTATAGCCGGAGTGCCCCACCTCTTCCCTCAGTGCTAATGTTGGCTATAGTCGCACCACTGCTTTTCTTTCTATTTGCTAATGTCGACTATAGTCGCGTCGACCTTGATATGTTCTACTGGTTTCCTAGTGAAGTAAAGCTTCTAACTACAGCCCACAGATGGCATAGGGATTTATTTTGGAGCTTTTCTTGTAGAATTCATGAACCGTTATGGGTTTCTATCAGCTACGGCCTTTCTCTGGCTGACTCAATCATTTTCATTCCTTGCTTTGCGTTCTATGTGAAACAACATTGTGTTGAACTGCTCTCAGTTTTTTTTTATAAATTTCATTTAGTTTAGTTTAGTTACGTGGCCATATAGATTAATTATTTTAATTATTTTTAGTACGGAGTTTTTGTTTGTCATTTTGTCATTTTTTTTTGTTTCCTTATTTTTTTAAAAATAGAGAAAAAGTTGTTTACTGCTATGGAAGCTGCTGAATTTATTACTACTGCCGAAAGTGGTGATGAATTCTTGCCGTCTGATTCTGAAGGGAGTAACAGTGAAAGAACAGAGAAAGACATTTCGATTCCTTTAACATCATCACTTCTTTATATTTCAATAGCTCCATCAACGTCACTTATCACACAAAATTAAATTATTAAATAAATATTTAAAATTATAAAAAAAAAATTGAAAAAATATGAGAAAAAAAGGTTTAAACAAATTTTTTAACTCCGCCAGTGTTTGTCCATTGCCTGAATCTGAAAGGAGGATGGAAACAATAAAATAAGGTAGTAGTAAGAGCCGGTAACGAAGGGTGGAAAGCAGGTAAAAAGCATGTAGCACAGCCTGATTGTCAGGCCACCGGGTTATTCAGCACTGTCATTGACATAAAGATCGTCTCATCACTCGCAACAGCGAAAAGGTTAACAAGATAGATATTTTCAAAAACGGTTCCACCACACCCTTCACCTAAGTACCTTCAACGAACATGGAAATACTATGAGTTTGATTGTATGTGGTAAACTTTATAAAGTTCTACGAATTAACTCACAGCTAGCACCTCTGAGATAACCATTATAAAGGCAGCAAATGTGATATCTTAGCTTGAATTGATTTCAATTTAATGGACTTATTAATTTCTTCAGATTAGAATTTTCAGAACAATGATTATCTTTTCTCTTTTTTCTATTAAGTTTTTGTCGAACTTTTGTGATTACTAATTCATAATTTGACCCAAATTCTGTCCCATGATTAAATATCACATTTATTGTCCTATTTTGTCATTGATTTCACATTTGTGAATCCTGTGATATCGCAAGTATATTTATGAATATCATTATGTTTAAATGTAGTATTTTTTATTATTAGATTTTTCAAGTTGGCAAAATTTATTAGACAGATCCTATCATCGTTACTATTGTCAGCAACTGTCTTTGGTCAGACAATGTATGCTTATTAGCACAATTTTATACGAATGCTCCTGGGACATGGCCATCTAAATTCTACTATTAAAAAAATTGTATATCCCTCAAAGAGGATGGGAATCTATTCCTAATTAGAAACCCTGTGCCTAAACAATGATTTCCAGCCTCTTTATACCAAATAGTGTACTTAACTTCTCTAATTTAGCCTTCCTCAGGCCAGTGAACCTCTTGCTGTCCCAAAATATTCAAATTTTACTCCTTAACGTTGTTTACTATCAATTTTAACCACCTGCTGTATTCAATTTTCTTATGTTCCATATTCCTATTCATAAATTTGTAATTTCCAACTTGTACCATGAATCCCTTAAAGCAATCTTCACCTGGGAACCCGAATGGGAAACTTGTTTACTTTTGGATAATGAGCATTTTACCTTAAGAAGATCTAGGACTGAATTTGGTATTTTGTGACTTTGGCACTAAAGATATGTGAGTAAGGCGTTCAATTGTACGTCCATCCTCCAGCAAATCTGTGGGATCGGTCTCATTGGTCAGTGAGTTCATCAAGAGATTTCCACGGATCATCTCCACTTCTGCCACCCATGGGACGCTTACTTGCACCAATGAGATCTGTGGGAGAAAATATCTTCATACAGTTAATAATTTTTTTTGTTAAATACATTTCCCAATCATTTTCAGTATTAAATTTTCAAATTTGATGATCTGATTCATAAATATGAATTGTAAAAAATTTATAATTCAGATTACTTAAACTGCGTATAACATTCCTTATGAAAGCATAACTAAATGTTGCTTAGTCTCTGTAGAGGTTAGGGGTGGTTATGTTGTAGGTGTATTATGTTGAGTTTCCTCATATTTAGTCCACAAAGTAGTTAAAACCTTCTTTTTTAAATATCCTGTAAAATGGGCCTAATGTTAAACATTTAGATTAAATGTTAAACATTATTAAATAAAGTTAAAGATTCTGAGTAATACATTTATGTTAGAACATACTTGTGTTAAGACACATCGGTCTTATTTAAAGCCTAACAATAAGATTTAAAATTATTGGTTGTATATAATTGGTAGAATGGCATCTTTTTTCATTTTATTTGGATTCAATAAGTTATAGTTTCGATTGTTATATCATTAAAGTTGGAGCTGTCATATGCTTTTTGTGGTGAATCATATTTATATGCTATTGCTAGCTATTATTTTAAATATAAGGGGAAGATAATAAATCACAAGCAAATCTTTTTATTAGAGATGGGTATATAGTTGAAATTATAAGGATGAAAAATGGTCAGGGTGTACGGTAAAAAAATTATGTTTATTCAATTTGCAGATGTTTTGCCCCAAACATGTAGGTCATCATCAGGGCAATGGTTTGAATGCTGGATAAGAACTGAGCGTTTACTCAAGGATAAACACTGTCCTTATCCGCCCTTCAAACCATTACCCCGATGATGACCCAAATACATATTTAGGTCGAAACGTCGGTAAACTCAATAAACATAATTTTTTTACTGTATACCCTGACCATTTTTCATTGTTACATTTTTTTTTTTTTCTTTTTCATGAATTAAATTTTATGTAGAACCTCAATAATTTTTTCTATGATGATCATTTTCTAATATTTACATATTATTATTACATATCTGCAGTGTAATGCAGGAATGACCGATGTAAATTTTTGATAATACTGAAATATGTTGTGCCATTAATTTAAAAAAAAAAAGTAGTCCTGTATAAGAATGTTTTGACATAGCCGTGAATTACTATTCAATTTTTAGTTATTTACTTTCAGTTTCTATTATTTTAATCTTTCTATATTAAAGTATAAAATTTTGATTTAAGTTATTCTTGCATTAAGGTGTAGATATAATGTAATATCTGTAATATATTTATTTATGATATATTTTGCTCCCAAGCTGTTTTTTTTTCCTATCAGCTTTTCATTATATTATATGAATATTGTAAATTGCAGTTCTGTTAATAACTCATGTAGGTATATTTGGAGTATAAAAGAAATGAATAAGGAATAAAATTAACTAAATATTGCTATTCTCCCTGAAAGTTCTGTATATTATGTAGTAACGTAACGCCTTATTTATTTCGTTAAGTAAGGCAGTCTGATCTTTCTTTTTAGAATTTTCAATTTTCGTTTATATCTCTTGATTTATTTATACTGTTAACATAGCTGTACTCAGTTTTTAACAGTTAATGGTTTTGCTACATTTGATGATTAAAAATATAATATTCCCTGATTAACTGTCAAATTAGGCATTGGTTGTGAGATTTACATGGTTAATATACACAATTAATGTCACTTATTTATCTTGGTACTATTACACACGAGAAATTTATTTATTAATTTAGATTATCTACAGTCAGTCTTGGGATTCACCCAACCTCTTTAAAGTGAGTTCACATTAATTGGGTAATAATCCTGGTGGTTGAGCATGCTTGCTGATCACATCAGCTCCTTGTATAACTATTAATCAAGAAGTAATACTTCCTCAACAAGTTCCGAACCCAACACTTTTCATTGGTTATAGTGGTATAAATTTTTTTTTTTAATCTTCTTATTTTTTACAGTATTTTTTATATTAACAATGCAAAATGATATTTTGTGGCTGCTTGTGAGTTAAAAACAATGTAAAATTACATGATAATAATTATTGTAAAATGCTGTTTAAATATGTGTTTTTTTATTATTTATTGTAATGACTATCATTTTTAAGCAAATACACTTCTAAATTAAATTACTGTTCATTCTTAAAATATTGTTGCTTGTTGATAAAAATAGAAATAAAAATAATGCTTTTGAAATTTGATTTGTTATTATTAATTACATTTTATTTATAGATGTCTTATTGAGGTTCTATATTAAATTTTATGTATAAACGTGAGGTTTTTTAAGTGTAGAATTAATTGAAAAAATAGGCTGGATGGGGGTTCTGATGTAATTTATTATTTACAGGGACCTGAAGAAAGTGGACAGACTTCACATGACGGGTGATTATCACCTATTTTTTTTTATTATGTATTTATGCAAATAATTAATGTTACCTAACTTGATTATTATTTAGAAGTTTTTATAATAGTCGTTATTATTATTATTATTATTTATTTTATTACTTTAGGGTCGAGGCATCAAAACGTGTCAAGAGAAGAAGCAGAGCTAGTGGTCCTAAACTGACAGTTTTATCAGCTAGTGATGGTAATGTTGAATGTCAGTTAGACACTGGAAAACTAAAGACTGTCACTTTCAGATTCTCTATGGATGACGTGAATCCTGAAGATATTTCCAACAACCTTGTAAGAAATTAATATTTGTTTAAGCAATTATAATATTAATTTTATTGCATTTTAGTTTTAACTTAGCATCATAATTTTATTAAGTTATCAAATCAACAAACGTGTATCCTCAATTTGGTAGCACTTCAGTTATACCCACACTACACTAAACTTTAATAACTGCCTATTGATGTGAATTTCTGACTTCTGTCAGATGTTTTTTGTAGTATTACATAACTGTTCCCAGAATAAAATTGTCTGTCAACTCAAGTCCCCTATTAACTAAGGCAACCTCATGATGTTAGCAAAAGATTGTTGAGGATTATTCTTTATCTCTCTGATTTCGACTTACAAGGACAACACATAGAGGGTACCTTATTCAATCCACCTAATTAAACATTATTGTTTTGACATCCAAAACAATATTTGAATGTAATCCATGCTCTTGTGTTGCCAGTCTATGTAATGCTGTCAATTAGTTACTCTTTAAATCCCCAAAAACCAAATTGGATAGTAAACAATTATTGACCGTCGGTGCATTTAGTAATCATGGACACAATAATTTTTCCAATATTTTAGAACATAGAGGAAATAAACTAATTAGTCTGTATTTAGTATTTGCATTTGCTATTTGAACATTAATGCATTTAGTATTGCTACTATACTGGAAGTTTTTAAGAATAAATAATAAAGTTATAATTATTTTTAAGGAATTTCCTTTTAATATAATGTAATTATTTAAGTGATTTTGGTTAATTATTTTCAATAATGAACCATTGTAATTCAAAACATTAACCCTCAAAGTTTGAGGTTTTATTTTTCAGGATAATTAGAATCCGAAGATCGAATAAAAAAATTTGTATCCGTCCGCCGTCTGCGGCTTTTCTCCAAGTGGACCAATCTTTTTTTTCAAATTTGGATTTAAAGTCAGAGGTCACCTGAGGATGATCTTCCTATATCGACATTACTATCCGCCCTTCCTTTTTAAGTTGGGGGTCGAAAAACCTGTATTGGTATAGACTTCAGTGCTTAACGAATGTACCAATTTCAATGAAACTTCGCTAAAAAAGTCTTCTTCTCGGGGCCCTTCAAATTTATCTATACAACATACTTCAATAATAAAAGTAATGAGGGGTGGTAAAATCAGATTTCCAATTAACTCAAAATGTTGAAATCGGACAATTTGGAGCAAAGATATATCTAGATATTTTTTTATATGTTCTAATGCAAAGTTTATATCCTTTGTTTTGGTTTTTGATTTTTGAAAGTGTCACTGAAGCAATGCTATTTTTTTTGGCAAATTATTAATGAAAAAAAAAAATGTTTAGGCCAATAATAGGAATCACCTTTTATTTATTTTTCTTTATGTTACCAGAAAGGTAATGTTACTTTCGGTGTATAATTGTTTGGAAATAATTAACCACTGTTTAATAATTTGCAGCATTTTCTTTAAAATATTGACTTGTAATATTAACGTTTAGTAATTTTTTAATAAAATAAAAATACAGTCCTATTAAAAAAAAAAGTCGAATATTTTAACTTACTTAAATCATTTTTATTACCTTGATTTACATTTCTTGGTTTAAGTAATGCTTCTTGCATGTTTAATGAAATTTCACTGTCAGTGCAAAATCTTCCTTTTGAATTTGCAAGGCATATTCTTTTTATTGGATTATCAGTAAACAGCTAGGAGCAAAGATTATGCAAAGGAAATATTTATATAACAGTACTGGTTTATTGTCCATTGATAGGAATCTTTAGTAGTGGCTCATTAGTCCAAGCTGTAATAATCCCATTTCTTTTTGTATGATTTTTTATTTTATTTTTTAAATTATCTAATTATCATTTCTAAACTTAAAAAACATTTTAATAATATTTTTAAATGTTCATAATTGTAAAATTGATCATTTGTAAAAGAAGAAAAAGAAAGGCAGAGTTTACTTAGGAAACCATAAGCTATAAGCTAAAGATGTTTATATTCTTTGTCAGCCCTTCAGTTTCACAAATTTCTAGTTTATTTTTTCCTTCAGTTTGAAACAAGTTTTCACAGTGACTACATATGTATTACATAGAGTTAATAAAAAAAATTTTCTCTGCTCCTTAAGGCGAAATTAAATGCATTTCCTTTTATCAATAAAGGTGTTTCTTTTAAGCAATTATATATGAGCCAGTGGTAGGTGGCTCCAGTGTGGACGACTGGTTACAGAATCAGGCTGAAAATTAAAATGAAAATCAGTGGATAAGAAAAAATAAGTGAGGCGTTGTTCTTTAGTTTTGTGTTCTCTGATAATTTTCAGTCTGTTAAAAAACTAAAAATCTTGAAAGGATGATAAGTGGTCAGGATGTGTACTCAAAAAATTATTGAGTGTGCCGACTTTTCGACCTAAACATGTGAGTCGAAATATCGACTCCACTCCACCCACCCAAAACCTTACGATTTTTGTTAATGCTCAGTTCTTGTCCTTTTCCTGCCTTCAATCCATTGGAAATTGTAATGAAACTATTTATATTTGTCAATCCCTATTTCGATAGGTTTTTTTCATATTTGTTAATTTTTATTTCTATATATTGTTTTTTCTCATACTTCTTATTTATTGATTTTTTTTATTTATACTAATGATTTGGTTTATTTATTTTTATTTTTGGTATATTTGTCTTATTCATTTATTTATAACACAAAAACATTTTCTTAGCATATTACAATGTTTACATTATTGTTTATTGCCATTGTCTCGTTTGTATGTTCCACCTTTTTCTTCTCTTATACTTTTATAAGAGTTTTTATTTATTTTATTTCTATTACTTTTATTATTTTTTGACTGTTGGCCCTGATGATGACTCACATGTTTTTGTGTAAATTTTGGCACACTCAATAAACATAATTTTTTTACTGCACTTCCTGACTTGTGTCATGCTTTCAATTTCAACAGTCGACTATATTTTTATCTCTGAAAACCTTGAACTTTCTGATACATATATATTACTACTGTTATTTCCGGAAATTGTTTTTTAAACCGGAGTTTACATTTAGCCATTTGTTAGTACTACTAACCATAAGAGACTGTTCATTACTTCAAATAAGTCATATGAAAGGTACTTAAGAGGAAGATATTTTGATAATTCTGCATTCAAGTCCTTATATTATAAATCACTTAATTGTAAGTTGGCACAATTGGTTTAATACAAAAGAAAGTTGTGACAATGTATCATAAAATGTATGATGTGAAGTGACACTTCTGGTTTGCAGAGTTTGATGAAAAAGTTTCTATAGTATCCCAGAGACATATGCATTCCTCATATATGTAATTTCACTTGTATACAACTTTTCGTCATCGAGTTTGACTGTTCATAGACACACAAGCACATGCATGAATTCCCATACACATACTCACATACACCATTTTATGAGACTTATTTATTTGAACTCAGACCTCAAAATGTATATTTCCATTGAAAACTTGGATTATAATTTTTTCACAATCATAGGACTTTCTTTTACCATATATTTCATAATCAAGTATTTAAAAATAAAAATGAGTTATAGATAGTTTCAAAGATAAATAACTTCAGTTTTCAACAGAAGAGAACAGTTTCTCATATGAGATATTTTTAATAAAAAATCGAAGTTGAAAAGAATCAAACTGCTGTAAAGTTAATTTTTGATCAATCTACTGAAATAATTACAATATCTTGAGTTGGATTTATTGTAGAACGAAATTTGGTGTTAGTGAGGACGGTAAAATAAAATATTAATGGTAGACAATAAAAACCATGTAACTCCATTTTGTTAACTTTTACTGTGGGAAAAAATAAGTCAAGAAGGGGTGATGGTGTGAAAGTTGGTCAAAAATATAAAATAATTGATAATTATATATTAAATGCTGACATTAGGACAATCATCGTAGGTCTTTATCAGGACAAAATATCTGGAAAAGCCAGACCGCTCCCATTGAAAAAAATGTTTACAATCAAATGAATTGAGTTTCTGTACTTTTTACTTAGGACTCAGAGTAATCATATAACTCTAAGATTGGAGTTAAGCGGTTTAAACAGACTTATGCAGGGTGTTTATTGCCTGCTGTGAATATATACTTAATTTTAAAATATACCTATTTTAAAGCCGATTTAATTTTGACTTCATTTATCTTTTGTGGATTGGTTCAATTTTGCTATACGCCATAGGTTGGGAACTTTTTTAGTACTAAAGGCTGCAGGTTAGGTTAGGCAGTGCTAATGGAGGCTGCTGCAATTCTTTATATTTTACCTTTACTATTATTATTTAGCACTAAATACATATACACATTACACATATATTCACTTCATTTTATTATTCAATATGTTTTTCAAAATTTTGTAACAAATAATTAAATATTAATTAATTCTAGTGCTAGATTAATAAATATTGTACAAAAACACCCAAGGAGGGGGAAGGGGTGTAAGACAACATTGTACTGGTGGTAAGTGAATGTTGTACGATGAGCTTGAGCATGCCACATCAGATTTTTTCATTATATTAAAAAAATTATTGAATAATAGCCAAATATAAAATATGACTTATTGTGGTTCATAGTTAGCTGATTAGTTTAATTAATAATAATAGTAATATATTAATGTTGATATTGCTTTCGATTGTAGGTGATGGAGAAACTCCTTGGTAATTCACAAGCTGATCTTTTAGTGGAACAGTTAAACGAAATTATCAAACAGCTGAGATCTGATCCTGACAAAATACCTGTCCTTGAACCTCCACCTAGCCCTGCTAGAAAACCTCTGTCCACTAGGGTAAAATATTTTTTTTGTTTATTAGTTATATAAACAAAGTTTTGTTTTTATATATTTATAAGCTCTTAATTAATTGATTGATCCATCATTTCGTTACATTTTAATGAAGGATTGATGACCTGGTTATATTCAAAATCTATTAATCAATTTGTATTATTATTATTATTGAAACTGTGCATTAATCTCTGTTTCTTAGATGTAGAAGTGGTTTATAATTCAATTTAATTACAAGATAATGCTATTTTTATATAAAAATATATGTTACATAATACTAATAAACTCCTTTTCATAACTTATGATTGAATTGAATAATTGAATCATAAACTACTTTTATGTTAAGGCCAGAAAAAAATGAAGGGTTAATTATAATTTTAATTAGCAATATAAAAGTTCCAATGACCATGTTTGACTATCTACGGTTATGTTTTTGATTATATATTTATCACTCATAAACTCTAATAACTATGCTACTATAATTATTTTAAAAAATGGAAGTATAAATTATTATACTATACTGAAAAGAAAAATAATAAAACTATTTTTTATTTTAAGTTAAGTGAACACTCATGATTTAAAAGAAAGAAATCAAGTTGAAATAGATCTAGTTATTAGTTTTTTAGATTATATAGGAATCACATTTGTGCTTGTTATTAAATTTGAAAATAACTTTTGACTCACTCTATTCTGAGTAAACTCACACTCTTAAAAAATAATCCTTTCTAACTTCTCTTAATAGGCCTGTAAAATTATATTGAAAAAGAGCAAATTATATGTTTGGAATTAAGTCATGTTAAACTGGAAATTATTTTAATTTATATATCTATCTAATAAGAAGGAACAAAGTTTGTGCCAATTTATTTGATGGGCTTTAGGTGGTATTCCTGAAATTTACAAAAAAAATTTGACTTTTCTTAATTTATTAAAAATAAATCAATATCTATCCGATTTATCGAGAGAAAAAAAATTATCAAGTGCAGAGAATTACATTCTGCATTGAATGGCTGCTAAAACAAGAATTCAATCAAGGAATATTTCCAAAAAAAGTGGTCAAATAGTGCTTACATTTTTTCATTTTATAAACTTGCCACTGCTATAGTAGCTGAAGATCAATTTTATCAGAAAATGTATAAAATAATAGTTGTCGATAATTTGATTAGCTATCTAATGATTACATCATTGCTTTAGGTTAAGAATTTTAATTGATTATTATCATTATTTTATTTCATTTTTTGTGGCTGCATTATACTTACTTGTTTAACCTTTTTCCTGCTATGAGTGACGAGCTTTATGCCTACCACAGTGCTAAATAAGATGGCTACCCACTTACCGTCCCTACTGGCTCTTATTACTATCTGTTAATCTTATTTTATTGTTTCCATCTTCCTTTTTGATTCGGGCTGTGGACCAACTCTGATGGAGTTAAAACTTTTCTTTATATTTAAATATTTATTTCATAATTTAATTTTGTACAGTATTCTTCGAAGCACTTGTCAATACAAAGACCAACCTTACAATTGTGACATTCTACTTTTTCACCACATACATACCACTAGTTTTTCATTTTAAAGAAAATAACAAAAACATAAACAATAAAAAACTACTAACTTAAAACTAATAAATATGGTGCTCACAACACACATCTTTCACTTACCACTCTACTTTAAATAGAAATTATTTTCTGGCAATGTTGGGATATTATAAAATTTTTGAAGTGCGTTTTAAACAGAGCTAAAGCTTAAAGTTTACAGATAATAGATCATTTAGACCATTAAAATTACAAAAAGTCTATTAATTACATTGACGGTAGGCAATAACAATCTAGTTATTCTGTCTGCTTTTATAAACTACACCACTTCAGTCAATGAGCCTTTCAGTTGACAGAATGACTAACTCCAATTTCAACATTTTTGAGTAATATCATTTTAGTTATATTTCTAGTTGTATTTATACAGACAGTGAGTAAGTCTATTCCAGAATAGGTGATTGCAGTGTTGAAATATTGAACTGTGAATAAAGCTATAAATTTTGCCACTAGAAACATCACTAAAATTAATAATAAAGAATGTTGAAAATGGAGTTAGTCATTCTTTCAACTAAAAGGCTCACATCTGCCTAGAGAGATTTGAAAGTATATATGAATATTTAACCTATAAATGATTATGAATTGTAGGATTGTAGTTACTAAACTGTTATTTTCCATTGTTAAGTTAACATAAATGAAATTAAGAGATTTTCATTGCCTGCTATGGATTGGTTAAAAGTTGTCACACTAATTGTAAGTGGATACTGTTCGAATATCACAAATGGAAATTTCATCAAACTATTCACTAATTTAATTTTCTAAAAGGTTACATGATGATTTTTCGGAATAAATGGACGATAGATACCTAAATATTTAAATATCAGATCTAGAATCATTAAACTACAGTAAATATATTTAAGTTTATAAATTTATCTATGAAATATTTTTATATTTCACTTCTTTCACAAAAGCACAGTGAAATAGTACTGGGAACTGTTAGAGTATCATAAAGGGAAGATTCATCAAATTATTCGCTAATTTAATTTTCTAAAAAGTTACATGGCAATGTTTCGGAATAAACGGATGTTGATACCCAATTATTTAAATATAATATCAGATCTAGAATTATTAAACTACAGTAAATGTATTTAAGGTTTTTATAAACATATGCTTTATACATCAATGAAATGATTTTATATTTTGCTTCTTCTTTCACACAAGTACAATGAAATAGTTTTTTAAACAATGTCATTGCCTTGATTAGGTGGATAATGTTGGGATTTCACAAAAGGAAAATTTATCAAATTATTCACTAATTTAATTTTCTAAAATGTTACTTGATGATTTTTTGGAATAAACGGCCAATAGATACCTCATTATTTGAATATAATATCATCTCTGGAGTTATTAAACTACAGTAAATATATTTAAAGTTATAAATATATCCATGAAATTTTTTTTTGTCCCTCTGTTACCTTCTACAACTTCATTTATTTGTTCTAAAATTCTCCGCTTTCCAACGATATATATTATATGTACACATTCTGACTGTTATTTCCGGAGATTCATTTTTAACTTGGATAAGCATTATTCTTTTTTTCTCCAGTTTCCAATTATCATATTATTTCAATCTTCATATTTAGCCATTGTTTATAGCTACTGTCAATGAAAGAATTAATTTTTTTTAAATAACCCATATTAAAGGTACTTCAGAAGGAGGCATGTTGAACATTGGACATTTAAGCTCTGTAAAGTGACATCAATGCGAATAAGACCTAAGTGATATTAAAGACCACTTAATTATACAATGATACACTGTGTTTAATCAAAATCGTTTGAGCCATTTTTGATAAAATTTTAAAAACACATTTCACCGTTGATATAAAGTGGCACTTCCGGTTAGCCGATTTTAACGAAAAAGTTGCTGCCATATCGAAACTATAAAAAAACATTAAATACACAATTTAATTTTCGTACAACTTTTTGTTTTTGAGCCAGGCTGTTCACATATACACATACACACAGACCATTTTGTGAGGCTTGGTTATTAGGACTCAGGAGATCTCAAAACGTGTATTTCCATTAAAAACTCTGATTCGAAAATTTTCATGATCGCAATACTTTCCCCAACTATATATTACATATATAGGTAAGTGAAAGTAAAAATAACTAAAACAATTTATTCTACATGGCCACGTAACTAACTAGACTAAACTAAATAAAGTTTACATAAACTCAGAGTAGTTGAACACACGGTTGTTTCACACAGAATGCAAAAACAAGAATGAAAATGGTCGAGGCAGCTAGAGAAAAGCCAGAGCAGGTAGTTGCCCATGCCATGCCCATGCTAGTTCTTATGTTTTAGCGGACATTCAATGCAGAATTTAATGCTCTTCATTTAATGAAATTTACAAAGTAGATTGTGATTGAATTATTTTCAATGAACCAAGAAAATTCATAAAATTTCGATTTATTTTGAGAATGTTGCTTAAAGCTCATTATAGAAATCAGCACAAACTTAGTTTCTTCTTATTAGAGGCAGAGTAAATAGATTATTACAACGTCCATCTTTGCCCAATTTAACTCCAACCAAAATCCTAATTTTACTGGACTATAAATTTGGTGAAAAAAATAATTACTGATAGTTCTCCTGCTTATCATCAATCTCCAACACAAACACAAAGAACTGATTATTTTTCAGTTTCAATGAGATTTATGAATATAAAAAAAGAAAATGACAACTTTTTTTTTATAACAAGTACTTAAGCCGTTTATCAAATACCTGTGAACAAACAAACAAACTGGTAAAACTTCAAATAGTTTTTAAATATTTTCATTAAGTTTCTGGGAAGCTTGCAATCTTTTAATCTATTTTTTTACTTTGTAATTTTTCTTCATCCTATGTTATGTTATACTCATTTTCTTTTTATCCATTTTTTTTTTATGATTTTGAATTTCAATCTATTCCTTATATTTACTACTCTTAAATATCATCAATCACTGATTAAATGTTACATAAGTGTTTAAAATATAAGCAAGATATGGATAAACGTAGGGAAAGTCTTATAGGTGCGGCATTGGTCTCTAACACGTCACAAGAGTCTTGTGTCTTCTCATAGACGCTACAGATCGGTGAGTTCTCATGCAGCTTAGCTTCTTTCTGATAGTCGACGCCTTGGTCTTTTAAAGAGCTGTTAGTTTTCTTATGAGTTTGAAAGTGAAATTCTGGCCTTTAGTAATTAATTTTAACCATTGAACACTACACTTGTAGATTCTTTATTATAATTCAAAGCAGTTAGTTATGCTTGCAGTCTGGGAAATGACACTTGATATGTTTTGAAATTTATAATTGTTATAAAAAGCTTACAGGTAATTTATTTTTTTATTTTAGCTGTGTAGAATATCACAATAGGGTCAGTTCATATCACATCATCCAGGACATGAAACCCATGATCTTCGATTTTTATGATTTTTTTGT